TGCGTGCCTGGACAGATGCCCTCGGGCACAGGCAGGGGAGGGGACGGTCTTCAGGCACCCCTCAAAGCCTCTTTGCCCGATTGGCAAACGCTGCTCAGCAGAGGCTCTGACCGGATTCTGGCCAGGTGAGGTCTTTCCGGGGTGGGCTGGGCTCAGGCTGCTTCCCCCCCTCCCCTCCTTTGGGTCAGAAGCAGGTAGCCCCCACTCTGGCTGAGGGCAGCTTTCCCTGCGAGGCGGGCTGGGAACTACCTGGCCAGCCTGCTCAGGGCTGCTGCTTTGGGCAACTGAGCCCCTTGGATGGGGGAGGGGCGCAGAACCTCCCCCCTCCCCCCCTCCTGGCATCGGGAAAATTTCCCCCTCCAGGCTGGCAATGATTTTTCACCTGGAGATTCCCAGGCCTTCCTTGCCCTCAGGCAGGACAGCACCAGCCCGCCCGGTTGGGCCAGCAGAGGCTGGGGGTGGGGGGGGGGGGAGAGGGGATTCAGCCAGGGCAGGGGGGATGGGTCAGCTGCCCCCCCTGGGACTGAAGCGGGGGGGGGCTACTCCGATGCACTGAGGGGGAGCAGTAGATGTGGGTGCCCACCCAGCCCTGGGCATCTGCTGAGCAGGGTGAGGGGCTCTGGGGCAGGGGAGGGTCGAGGGAGGAGGAGGGGGCGGCCTGGCCTCACCCTCCCCAGAGGGGAGCTGTGGGGCCAGCGCAGCCCGTCATGGAAACTCCTGGCCCCTCCCAGCCTTTCCGTTGCACATGCCAGGAATATCCGCGTAAGGCGACACCCAGGCCAGGCCCAGCGCGGCTTTTTCCGACACAAACAACCCTCCGGAGCCCTGGACCTCAGCCTGGCCATGGGGCAGTGCCCGCCGTGGGCTCCGAGGGGCAACGCAAAGACCCCCGAGGTCCCTTTTGGCCCTGAGATTCTATGGCTCCACAGGCAGTCCTCAACGTACGGCCGCAAAGAAGCAACAAATTTCTGTTGCTAAGCGAGACAGTTGCTAAATGAGGTTTGCCCCCTTTTACGACTTTTCTTGCCCCGGTTGTTAAGGGAATCGCTGAAGTTGTTAAGCTAGCAACCCGGTTGTTAAGTGAGTCTGGCTTCCCCATTGGCTTCGTCTGTCCGACGGCTGGAAAGGGAGCTCACATAATCCGAGGATACGGCAATTGTCATAACTCTGGGCCATCTGAGAAAAGAAGTCTGACTTTGGATCACGTGACCAGAGACGCTGCAACGGTCGTAAGAGTGGGAAATGGCCAGAAGTCACTTTTTTCACTGTCACTGTGACTTTGAGCAGTCATTAAAAGGAACAGTTGTAAGCGGAGGGCTACCACCTGTATGGGGTGTGGGAGCCCTGCAGGGAAAAAGCCCACCGGGTCCCCTGCCTGCGGCTGGGCGGGGGGGGCGCATCCCCCACTCACCGTCCAAGGAGAGCCAGTCCAGCTGGGTGCTGGGCAGCGCCAGGAAGTTCCGCGCCCGGTACTCGAACAGGACGGAGGGGGAGAGCAGGCAGGAGTCCTGAGCGACTTGCAGTGGCACCAGGCCCGCCTCGTGGGCTGCGGGAGGAAGGGGGAGAGCATGGTTGGGGGGCGCGGAGTGGCCCTTTGCTCCGAGAGGGCTGCAGTAGCCCTTCCCTCCCCCACCCCACCCCCACTCGGCTAACCTACCTGGGCAGTAGCAGCGCAGCACCCCAGACTGGATGAGCGCAGCAGGGACCGAGATCTGGTCGAAGAGGCAGCTGTAGGACTCTGATTCATCCATCCAGGGGCCGGTGATCAGCACCTTGACGCCCCCCTGGCCCCCCAGGAGGAAAAGGCAGGAGTCAAAGAGGGTCCGATACCCCCCCGCCACTCTGCCCCTCCAGCCAGACCTCTGGGGTCACTCTGGCCCCCATAGCTGAGCACCCACCTCCGGGTAGGACCACTCAGGTGAGAAGTCGGTGATGGAGACCAAGGGCTGAGCGGAGCGCCCCAAGACGGCCTCCGCCGCGTAGCAAGGCTCAGCCAGGGGCTCCGGCAGAACCGGCTCTGGGCTCTCCGACCCAGGACTGGGGCCGTTTGGGCTGCCTGCACCATCTGCCACTGTGCCCTCCGTCATCAGCTCGCTAATGAGGTCTGGGAAATGGCTGTCGAAGGACAGGCCGAAGGGGCCTCCCGCGGCCGCTGCAGCCACTCTCTGGATGACCGAGTACAGCTCCTCCTGCAGCTCCTTGGGAGAGATCTCCGGCACCCCCCCGGCCTCTCCGCCCACTTCCCCCGGCAGCACCTCGGCCCGGGAGTCCCCTTCGCCCGCCGTCTCCATGGGTGCATCTGTGCTGCTCTTGGCTTCCGCTGCCACCACCGTGGGGCTGGCCGAGACGGGTGTGGGCCCCTGCCTGGCCCCGTCATCCTGGATGAAGAAGCGATTGGTGGAGACGTAGAGCGAGTAGCCTGAGGCCGGGGCATTATCAGTGGGTTCTGGCTCGGTTTGAAGGCCCGGGCCGCCCCCGTACGTCTGTCCTTGCTTGGGGCTGTTCAGGAAGCGGTCCGGGTCGAAGGCGTCCGAGGCCCCCTCATTGGTCTCCATGGCGGACTCCAGGCTCTGCGAGAGGACCAGGCCGGGCAGGACAGCCAGGCCGAGAGGTGCTGTGGGGGCCACTCCCCCCTCTCCGGAGACCAGGTGCTGGCTGGGGGTCAGGGCCAGCGGCTTCTCAGCCCCGCTCGGGCCAGCCATGACGAAGATGGTGCTGCCGGGCAGGCTGACGGACAGGGTGCCCGGGGGCCGCTCCTGTTTGGGGAAGCTGCCGGGCCGGGCCAGAGCAGGGGACGGCTGTGTGGAGTCGGGGATGGCATCGGCCATGGTGGGGGAGCTGGTCTTGGCCGGCTTGGGGCCTTTGCTGTCCAGGAGAGGCCCCTTGGCCAGGTCAGCCTCAGCTCTGGCCTCGGGGCTGCCCGAGATGTTCTGTACTTCTGTCAGGGCCGGGAAGGGGCAAGGACGGACGTCCACCTTGGGGGAGATGATCCGGTGCTTAATGCTGTTGCATTTGTGCGGGACGTGGCCGGGACTCCCTGCGAGGAGAGGAGAGGAGAGGGAGGGGGGTTACAGCCACCATTTCCAGCCTGAGATGAGGATCCTGGTTTATTTGCAGGCAGTGCCCCACCTTGTGCCCCATAACTGGGCAACTTCCAATCCAGATGGTGTTTCCCCCTGCTTCCGGTGGCCCTGACTTCCTGCCATGGCAACACCATCTCCCTCCCTCCCTCTCACAGACACACCCACCCACACCCACACACCCACGGACAAACTAAGCTGGCCCTAGGTGGCCCTGCCTCTCTAACCCTGACCCTCCTGGAGAGGCTCTTCCTTGATCCCACCAAGCCCCCTCAGCTCCCTCTGAGAGCGACTGTGGCCAGAGCCTCTCAGCTGGTGGGATGCCCTGGAGACCCCTCGGAAGGGAAGGGGGGGCGGGGGCGCTGACCGAGGCTGCTGCTGCAGAGGCAGGCGTGTGTCCGGGGGGGCGGCTTGGCCTGGTGGCTTTCCAGGATCTGCTGCACCAGCTGCTCCACGGAGAAGTCGGCGGTGCTGCTCCCGTTGCTGCACGTCCACTTGATCCCGTGAACTGCGGGAGGGAAGAGCGCAGCACGTCCAGCCCAGGATCCCGGCCTTGTCACCCACCCTCCCCGCCCGGCCCTCCCAGGGAGGAGGAGGGGGTGCTGCCCCTGCCACGGGCATTCGGGCACTGGATGGGCCAAAGGAAGCTTCTTCTCAAAAGCAGCCCTCTGGAGCACCCTGTGGCCAAATTCCTCCCCCAGAAGACGGCAGCTCCCAGCCGGTCACACCACCCGGCCTGCCCAGCCAGGGCTTGGCGTCCAGCTGCTGGTCAGCCGGAGCCTCCCGGGAACGGTCTGGTGCTTCTGAGCAGCACCTGCTGGAGGCCAGAGGCTCAGCACAGCCACCGGCCCTTGGCGGGGCGGCCGGCCGTTTGGAGCTCCCCACTCCAGGAAGAGTCTCCAAGTTACAGCCATAAGGGAGCTTGTAACGTGGGATGGCTATAAAGTGGGTGGGCCCAATTTGTGGCCTTTTTGTAACAGTTCTTAAGCAAACCCTTTGTTTGCTATGGCAGGGGTCCTCACCCGTGGGCAGCAGCCGTGGCCTTTGTACAGCCGGGCCACGTGAGGGGTGGGTTGGTGCACGTGTGGTCAGCCCAACTCACCCAAGGGGCGGGCCTCCCCTCCCTCACACAAAACCATCTCTTCTCTCCCCACCCCCACCCCCAGCCAGCCCACCAACTCTGAAAGGCCGGGGACTGCTGTGCTACAGGGCTGGCGAAATGCTGCTTTTTTGGCAAACCTGTTATAAAATGTAATCACGTGACTGTGGGACACCACAAACGGCGGTAAATGTGGCCCCTGGGTGGTCATGTGACCTGGGGAAGGATCTGGTCATTGGAATTTCGAATCCGGGTCATAAATCACTCCCAGGTAGGTCAATCAGAACTTTGAAGAGTTACTTAGCGACTAGTCGTAAGTCAAGGACTACTGGTAAGTTCCCTCCCTCCACGAAGAACCCTAAAACCCATCCTCCTGCACCTGCTGTGGTGGCGCAGTGGTTAGAATACAGTACTGCAGGCTACTTCTGCTGACTGCCGGCTGCCAGCAGTTTGGCAGTTCGACTTTCACCAGGCTCAAGGATGACTCAGCCTTCCGTCCTTCCGAGGTGGGTAAAATGAGGACCCAGATTGTTGGGGGCAACAGGCTGACTCTGTAAACTGCTTAGAGAGGGCTGGAAGCCACTGCGAAGCACTATGTCAGTCTAAGGACTACGGCTATTGCTGCTGTACCCCTCCCATCCCGGCACTGCTTACACATGGGTTTCAGCTGCCCAACCAGCTCTTCCTTCGACCACTTCAGCCACTCCTTGCGGTCACTGTTGATGGAGCACAGGATGGGGCTGCAGATCTTCCCGCAGTCTTCGATGGCCGGCACGTTCAGGTAGTGGACCAGGACAATATCCGGGTTCTGCAGGGGGGAGCAAGGGGAGACCAGGTGGGAGGAAAAGCGGGCACAGGGGGCTCCTTGGGGGAGAGCAAAGGGGGCAGTCTAGGCCTTGTCAAAAGAGAGAAAACTTTTCCTAAGCCTTGAATCCTGGTTTCCTTCCTGCTTCTCACCGGTACTTAGATGGAGCCAACCCACATTGCAGCTCTCAAACTGAAACTGGGGGTGGGGGTGGTAAGCTAAGCCTCGGTGACTCTCCAGCCCAGTTAAGAGAACTTCTGAAGAATAACTGGGGGGTCCTAAAAGGACACCATGTCAGGCCCCAAACCAAGAATAACCTTGATGATTCTTCCAAGTCAAGTTCTTTATTGCGTCAAACCTGTAGACAGAATCTGGCCAGATTGAAGACTCAAGACTCTCTGCATCTAGATGTACTCTGGGAACTATTAAGGAGCAGCTGTCTTCACCCTCTTTCTCTCACAGCTCATCTCTGGGCTGAGTTGCCTCTTCCTCCTCGGGAATGGACCCCTCCCCTCCAAGGGATTCCCCCTCCTCACGGCAGTTCATCACATATCAGGAGCCATGAGAAACGAGGAGCTTCTCCAGGGAAGGCCAGGCAACCCCCCCCTGCCCCCCAGAGAAGTAGGATACCAGACCCACATATTTCTTGGACAATGAATTTATGTATTTCGGACATTTTTCTCCTGCTGTCATTGGTATTCTTAGTAAGTAACAGTGAATAAATATTTTCCTAAAATCATCATTTGTTCTATTAGAGCAGGGGCCTCCAAACGTGGCAATTTTAAGACTTGTGGACTTCAACTCCCAGAATTCCTCAGGCAGCACAGCTAGCTGGGGAATTCTGGGAGTTGAAGTCCACAAACTGGAGATCCCTGTATTGAGAGTAAAGTTTCTTAACCTCAGCAACGTTAAGGGGTGCAGACTTCAACTCCCAGAATTCCTCAGCCCAGGATCCTGGCCTGGGGAATTTTGGGAGTTGAAATTTGCATCCCTTAACGTTGTCAAGATTGACAAATGCTACGTTAGCCTTCAAGGCATAATTCAAACGAGGGCGTTGATCTCCGTTTTTCCACAGATTATAACGTTCTTCAGCTGGATTTAAGCAGCCATTCCGAAATGCAGGGAACTGAGGAGGGGACGGCAGCTCCCCTGCTGCTATCCTCCTTCTGGAGACCCCACCCCACCCCCATTCCTCAGCAGCCGCAGGGAGACTGACCTGGAGTAGCCAATAGCAGCGCCGGTGGAATGTCGGAACGATGGACGAATGGACGTAGCAGCCGTAGAGACACTGGGAAGAGGCAGCAAAGATTTGGAGGGGGGGCCTTTCCTTCCTTAAGCAGACCCCAGTACAGATAGTCCTCGACTTACAACCACTCATTTAGTGACCATTCGAAGCTACAAAAGCACTGGGAACAGTGGCTTCCAGCTGTTTTTTCACACCTACGACCGTTGCATCATCCCCACGGCCACCTGACCAAAATGTTGGCAACTGACTTGTATTTATGATGGCCGCAGTGTGCCGGGGTCACGTGACCTTCTGATGAGCAAAGTCAATGGAGAAGCCAGATTCACTTAACAACCGTGTGATTCCCTTAACAACGATGGGAAGAAAGGTGGCAAAATGGGGCAAAATTCACTTAACAAACGTTTTGCTTAGCTATGGGAAATTTTGAACTCAATTGTGGTCGTAAGTCAAGGACCACCTCTAAACCCCTCCCCCCAGCTCCCAGGGCCGGATCCTCCCCCACCCCCATGGTTCTCTGCAGATTCTCAAGCTCTGCAGCCTCCTTGACACCGGGACCCCGGAAAGACCCCCAGCAACCCCCTGGGGCCCCCTTATGCGGCTCCCTTGCCCAGAGAGCGCCTGGGGCTTCTGCAGCGCCTCACCGCCCCTTCCGGGGTGGGGTGGGGGGCTGGAGGGGAGAGGTCCTACCTCCACCCCTTTGACCTTCAGCTTCATGTGGTCCTCGCGCGTAGTCTTGCCATCCTTCCGCTTCTTCCAGCAGTAGCCATCCTTCCGGTATTTCACCTTCTTGCGGTTGTAGAGGATGAGGGAGCCGTTCTGGGGTCTGCCGGGAGAGGAACCCCAGGTGAGCAGGGGGCCCCGGAGCCCCCCCAGGTCTGCAGGGATCCCCTTGGGAGGGGGGCCTGGGGGCCAGCAGGGCCAAAAACCCCTCTGGGCGCAGCCATCACCCACCCCTTCCCCAGCAAGGGTCTCCGTCTGGGCAGCAGGGGCTTCTCCGCTCTGCCATGGCTGGACGGGGCAGCCAAGGAGGGTCTGGCATCTTGTAGCCCACCTTGAAGGAAGTGGCCAGCTGAGGTGGAGGAGACAAGGACCCTCACCCGTTTTGGCAGCCTCCCTGCAAAGCAGCTTTGCCACAGCTGTATGCTGGCATTTTTGGGGGGGAGGGGTCTTTCTCTTTCTTTTCATTCTTTAAATGTGCATGTTTGCAGCCGAAAGTGGCTTGGACCAAACCAGCAGGCCAGTTAGAAGTGGGGAGGATGTGCTGGTTGCCCCAGATTTCAGGCCCCCAAAGCACCAGCTGCATCTGCTCCACCAGGGATGTGTGGGTGTGCCTCTGACCAACCCTCCTCCCCCATGCCCTGGCCTTGAGGCAGCAGAGAGCAGCCCCTTACCTGCTCTTGGGGGAGCCCGAGAGCCATTCCTCATGTTTCTCAAAGGTGATCAGGTAAGAAGCAATCTCCTGCAAGAGAGACCCAGAGTGGCCCCCTCAGAGCCAGCCCCCCATTCCTGGGAAATGCCCAGAGGCTGGGCAGCCAGGAGAGGGTCAGGCCAAACTCAGGGTGGAGATGACCTAAAAGGGCTCCAAAAAGTCGCTGGGGATCTGAAGAGATCCTTCCCTAAAAGCCGGAAGGGGTTGGGACCCTCCCCATTGGGTCTTGGGAAGCCCCTGGCACAGGCTACCTCCCCCGCCCCCATTTTGCATTTCTGTCAATTCCGTTCTTGCGCCCCAAGAAAGCCGCTGTGGGGACCGAGGGGCCAGGAGGGCCTAAGTCTCTTGGGTGGGCCAGGAAGCAGAAGCGGGCACAGTGCCCCCTTCCACACCATGACCCCCCTGGGTGCCCTGTTCCCTGGACAAGCGTCCGAGCACTCGGGGCAAACAAGGGCTTGGTCCAACAAGAGAAACGGGGAGCCCTCCACCTGCCGTTTAGAGACCGTTCAAAGTGACAATGGCACGGAAAAAGGAGACTTATGGTCAGTCTCGCACTGATGACCTTTCTGAAGGGCAACCAAAGGACCCTGAAAAACAAGCCCCCCCCTCCCTCCTCCCCACGTCAGCCTCCACCTGGTTGGCACTTAAGGGAGCCTTGCCTGAGGACAGAGCCACTGTGGGTGTCCCTCAGGCCACCTCCCCCAACACCCCCAGCATCCCAGGGTCTAAAGCAGGGGTCTCCAAACTTGGCAACTTTAAGCCTGGCAGACTTCAACTCCCAGAATTCCACAGCCAGCTTTGCTTTGAATTCTGGGAGTTGAAGTCTGCCAGGCTCAAGGTTGCCAAGGTTGGAGACCCCTGGTCTAAAGGCAGAGCTGGGGTGGAGGAGGAAAAGGGCTCCCGATCTGCAGGGTTCCCCAAAAATGCCCCTCGGGCGATCAGGCAGTCCTGAATTTACGACCACAACCGAGCCCAAGCAGTTGTGAAGTGAGTTAGGCCCACTCTGCAACCTTTCTTTACCACCGTTGTTAAGTAAATCTGGCTGACCTAGAAGGTGGCAAGAGGGGATCACGTGACCCCAGGACTCTGCGACCGTCATAACTATGAACCAGTTGCCAAGCGGCTGAATTTTGATCACGTGACCCTGGTGCAATGGTCGTAAGTGTGGAAAATGGTCCTAAGTCACTTTTTTTCTGACTAGACTTGTGACAGCCAGAAAACAAATGGTTGCAGTTCAAGGACTGCCTGTACAAAACAGGAGGTTCCTTCCACCCGGCAGCCTTGACAGAAATGCGGGCCGACCTCCAGCACCCACAGCTGGCCCCACCCTCCCCTTTTGGGCAGCCTCTGGCCAGAGGTTCTCTGCAATGGTCAGCTTTGCCAGCCAAAAGCCAGAAGGCCAGCAGGGCGTCCCCCTCCCCTTCCAGACTCCAGCAGCCTCCGGTCTTTGGACCAGAATCTACTGGATCCCGACAATTTCTGCAGGTCCCCCCCAACCCCTCCCACCCCCAAGATTGCCCTGAGTTGGCACCCAGGAACCCTTCCCATCTCCGGGGTCCCCTCACTGCCTGGAGGAAGGGAAGCTAGTCCGTCTGCAGCTGAGGTGTCCGAGTGTCCTCCGGGCGAGCAGCGAATGTTGGTCTCCTGCAGGCCTCCCGAGGCTGCCCAGGCCGATACCCCGGATGCTGGCGGTCAAGCCAAGTTCAGGGCCTGTGAGAACCACCCTCTAACCCGCCGTTCTGTGGAAACCCCTGCGGCCTCCTCTCTGCCCTGATCCGGGACCGAAGGGTCAGCAGCTGCAGCCCCCTTCAAAAGGCCACCTGGTCCATCCTTCTTAGAGCAGAAGCACCCTCCCCTCTGGCCAGCACCCATCTCCCTCGCGGGAAATGCCAACGCAGCACTAACGCTACTAAGGCCGGACCGTTCCCCAAAAGCAAAGAGGCCAAAGCTGCGCGTGTGAGGGAGCCTCTGGGATGTTAGAGGGGGAGGCAGGAGATGCCAGCAAAGGTGCAGAAAGGAAAAGCAAAAATGGCCGTTTACAGGAAAGAGGCGGAGAAGGCGGGGAAGGGAGAGGCACCTGGACCTCCTGAATCAGAATTTCAGGCACGTGGTGGAGAGTCTCGAAAGGATGGAGAAGAGCAGGAGGGCTGGATAACATGTGGGAGGAGGGAGGCCCACTTGGCTTCATATTAAGGCATAAAAATGTAGTTTGTTTGTTCCAGATCAAAAATAGCACCTTGCAGGAACCACTTCCCTGTTTTGTGCACAAACACACAAAACCTTCCCGTCTGCAAAGATTATAGTGGGGATCATATTCCCCCCCCCCACCACACCCCTGGCGCTGGGCTAAGAGGCGAAGGAAGCCTTTTTTCCACAGGCGTCTTTGGGCGATTGGCTTAAAAGAGGGGAGGGGGCTCTTTCCTGGCCACAGTCGGTGCCAACGAAGCTCAGTTCGACCTCAGAGACTCGGAAGAGAAAAACTACGGAGGCTGGGGGTGGAGGGGGGCAGGCGGGGTCCTCCGGTGGGAGTCCCGAGAGGAGGGCAGAGCCCCCATCCAGAGGGGCCCCTTGGTACCTGAGCCTGCCTGTTGGATGGGGCAGCTTTTCCCCGCCCACCCCAGAGGACCCAGAGCCCAGGACGGATTCGGGGCTCCGCAGCAGCAGCGGCCTGCGCCCCCCTCCCCCAGCGCCCCTACCTCGTTGGTGTTCCAGCGCAGGCGCTCCTTGGGCAGGGCCGGGCACTTGGGCACGCACTCCACCAGCTTCTTGGGCAGGAAGACCTTCAGGTGGTGGCTATTCTCTGCGGGGACGGGGGGGGGGGGACAGAGGCGGCGGGGTCACCCGCCCCGGCAAGACTCAGCGCAGCGCCAACGGAGGGGGTGCAAACGCCCGTCTGCGCAAGGATCGCTCGGGGGTCGGGCCGCCCCCTGCCCTCCCCCTCCGGGCGGCTTGGTCCCGGCCCCTCCCCGTGGGAAAAGAGCGTCCGCTTCCAGGCTTCCCGCGGGCCGAGACCCCGACTCACCGGAGACCTCCGTGGCCGCCTTATTCATCTTCGGGGCGGGCGGGGCGCTCAGAGGGCTCTGCCGGGCAGCCTCCACGCGAACCAGCCTGGGGGGCGGCAGGGCGTCAGCGGCGGAGGGGAAGCGGCCCCTTCTCGGACACCGGCAGCCCCCCTCCCTCCCTCCCTCCCTCCCTCGGCCCCGCCCGCCCGCTCGCCGGCCTGCCCCGCACCCGCCCCCGCCCCTGACCCGGAACCCCCGCCCCGCCCGGTGCCAGCCTCGCCCGCCCGCTTCGCCCGGGTGGCACCTGCCGAGGCGCCCGCAGCTCCGGCTTCGCCACCGGCCGCCATTCCCTGCGCCCAGCGCCGGCTGCTGCTCGGCCCCTTCCTGCCTCCGCCGCTGACGCCCTGCCGCGGCTCCGCTCCGCCCCGCCGGTGACAGCTCGGCCCCTGAGCTCAGCGCGCACGGCCGGCGGCGGCGGCGGAGCAGCCTGGCTGGCCGGGAGGGGCCCCGCGCGGACGGAGGCGTCGGAAATCGCGGAGCCCTCGGCCGCCTCGCCTCGCCCCGCCGCCCCAGCCTGCCGGGGCTGAAGGAAGGAAGCGCCCCCGGACCGAATGCCAGCCGGGATGCAGCGCGCCCACCTGCGGGGGCAATCCCGCCCTGCTTCCCGGGGTCTCACCCGGGCGGGGGTCCCGGATCGTTCGCCTGCGGGGCGCCGCGATCCTGCCCTGATGCCGCCTAGAGCGGAGCTTCCCGCGTGGGCGGCGGGAGAACGGGAGCCCGCAGCCTCCCAGCAGATGCCCGGCTCAGCCCAGGAACTTCGGGGCGGGGAGGGGGAGAAGGCCCCCGGGTGCACGCCGAGGGGGGGCATTTTGTGCTCCTTGGGCTGCTGCCCCCCCGCCCCTCCCCTTTCGCTCAGGGGACATTAGGCCCTTTGGGGGAGGGGAAAAGGGGGCGCTGGAGGCGGCATTTCCGCCCTCTGGTCAGCCCCGGTGCAAGGAGCCCACGAAAGGAGCCCAGGAAGAGGCTTTCCCGGCCACTTGTGGACTTCAACTCCCAGAATTCCCCAGGCAGCAGAGGCGGTGGCCGCCCATCTTAAAGGGGCCGAGTTAGAAAAACAAAAACAACCCAGCTGCCAGGGATGAGAAGCATGGCGAAATGATCCTGCAGGGGCCAGTCTGAGGAAGGGATCAGGCAAATGGGCTCGGGAGTGGGGAAGACAAGCGTGCGCATCTTTCGGCAGGATATAAAGCAGGTATGTCTAACCTTGGCCACTGTGGATCAACTCTCAGAATTGCTGGCTGGGGAATTCTGGGAGTTGAAGTCCACAAGTCTTAAAGTGGCCAAGGGTTAGAAGGGGAATGATTGATCTGCTCCCATCTTAGCTTAGGGCTTAGGGATCCCCTTAATTCCCACCCTGCAAGGGAATTGGACGCTACGGGTAGTCCTCGACTTACGACCACAAATGAGCTCAGAATTATGATCCTATGTCGTTGTGGTGGTTAAAACAAGATGCCTAGGCAATCCCAGCTCTCCCTGTTGCAGTTGTAATTTGGAGCATGTGGAGCCTGGGGAGTGTGTGTGGGGGTGGGGAGGCCTTGGGTTGCTGAACAAATGGTCGTAAGTCAAGGACTACCTGCACTGTGGGGCAGCTGAAGAACAGCTATCTGGAAGGTGTCGTATTGGGGAGGGCCGAGCCACGTGGAATGGGCAGGTGAGACCCCCAGCCTGTTTCCCCCAGTTAACGTTAAAAGGAAGCAAAAACCAACGATCAGAATTGAGTTCCACAAATGTATTTGATGAACAGGTTAACAACCAAACTCGCTCTCTTTTCCATTAGCACGGCCAGAGCATTTGGAGCCGTCTTAATCCGTTGGTCCTTTCCGTGCAGCAGAGGGGTCCCACTTGGTGGCAAATACGTACTTCGAATTAGGACTTGCGATTCCTTTGGGCGGAATGCTGCTGAGGAGGGGTGGGGGTGGGGGGCTGTACTGAATAAGGGAGGGGGCGTTTTCTTCCCCTGCAAACTCTCCCCGCCCTTAAGGAACATCAGTTGCATTGTTTCGTCAGCTGTGCCTTTAGAACCCTTACAAGCAGCGCCTTGAAACCAGGGAGATGTCTGGCCTCCAGTTAAAAACAGGTCTGTATTTTAAAAATGCATTGCAAGCCAACTGAAGTGAAGGCCAGCCGTCTGTCCCCAGCCCCTTTCTGCTGGCAATGTCTGCCTGACATGGTTCAATCAAGATCGGATGGCCGGTTTCTGGAAAACGGAAGCCAAGTCTCCCACCCTTTTTAGTGGAAAAATAAACACACTGGGCCGCAGAAAGGATTAACCCGTGGGGAGAAAAAAATTCCAAGGCTTTATTTGCTCCCAAAAATCCACCTTGGAAAAGCCAACTTGGCTGAGGCCGCCAGCCTCGTGAACAAGGACAGAGTGGGCTCCTGGGGGTCAGTCCTTCGGCCAGGCCAGGAAGCCTTCCACACACCTCCCCTCTTGTCATCCGGAGGGATGATTATGTTGGCCCATGTTGGCCTTGGTGCGTGCGTATGTGTGCACGTGTGCATAAAGGAAAGCCTTTATCAGACTCCCAAGAACTGATTTCCCTGTAAACGGGCAACAATTGATCCTCAAACTACAAGGGTGAAACCTTCCTATTAACTTTCTGAGGATGTGTCCTCACCAAGTTCACCTCTCTCTCTGTTGGCAGGAAATATTGTGCTGCTTTTTATAATTTGCTTTAAGGGCGTGGAAGATGGGCAGAGAGAAAAGGGGAGGGGGGCACAGGTCAGCTGGGTGGGCCAAAGGTCTGAGGAGGAGAGCCTTCTCCTTGCAGCAGAAAAGGAGTGTCAGAAGAGACACTCTGCCACTCCTGAGCCCTGCAAAACATTGACAAGGCTGGCAAGGGCTCCTCTTTCTTCCAAACACCTCGCTGAGCTCCTCGGAGGAGCAGCTTACTCCTACGTTACATGCAGGTGGAGGAGGAGAGCCAAGGGAGAGAGAAGCCGGCCTTCGCCAGAATCAGGATTACTATGGAAACCCTCCTCAGTTTCCCCTGGTATTCGCTTTCTTTCCTCAGCCCACGGTGGAAGGTTTATTGACAGCACAAAGAAGAAAGAGAATCTCTCTGGCGTGCCAGTCGTAGGGGGTGGGGGCGCATTGGCAGACTTGCAAAAGGGAAATGAAAGCCCACCCCCCGAACAGGAAGGCCAAGCATGGATGGAGGAGAGAAGGAGTGGCCTTGGGTGGAGGAGACACGTGGGGGCTCCCAGGGAAGAGACACACGCACGGGGACCCCTGAACCCCTTTTGGCTCAGGCCACATTCACACACAACGTCCGCCTGGTCGCGGTTATTCTTCGGGTCGCAGCTCAGCGCTTCCTCCATGGAGAGAGCGGTGGTGGGCCGCCACAGCGTAGAAGGCCAGGGGGCTTTCTTCGGGGAACCTCAGGGGCTCCCTCAGGTTGGGGTTCCACTGCGGGTGGAGGAGGAGCTGCAAGGCAAGGTGGGAGTCAGTGGGAGGGGGGTGTATCCCATAATTAAACCCTCTTCCTCTGGAAGGGACAGGCTGGCGGCAGAATTAGGGTTGGGGTCTCGTGGAAAGATTAGATGGGGCCAATGGACCTTTTCAGTTTATTTCAGAACATTCCTTCTCAGGCTTGGTGTCCTTTGGGCATGTGGACTTCAATGCCCAGAATTCTTTGCTTTGCTAGCTGGGGAATTCTGGGAGTTGAAGCCCACAAAGCTGCCAAGTTTGAGAAACATCATTTAAGAGGAACCAAGCTCACCGCCTGCCCACTCACCCCACCCACCCCTCCGAATCTCTCACGGCGGGTGATGTTGCTAGGCAACAGTGGCCTCCCACCTGGTGGACTGCTTGCCGCCCCCACCTGCCAACTGCTCACCTGGGCACTGGTGCCTCTGCCCAGGAAGGGCCTGGCGTAGGGCTCTGGCATCCGGGCGGGGCTCGGCAGGCACGGAGGCAGGTCCCCAACCATCCCGTTCCTTTGTGGGGAGAGCTGGGGCAGAGCCCCCCTCTCGTGTGCTGCTTTCTGCCTTTGAAACAAAGGGGAGGGGAGGGGAGGTCAGGAGGGCTGCCGCTCGCTTTGGTCTCTGAGGGGGCACCTTTCATTTGACAGAGGCTGAGGAAAGGACTGCAAAGCAAGGGGAGGGGAGCCAAGTTTGCAAGGGATACGGTGTCATTTGCAGGGCAGTGAACCTGGGTCGCAAGCTGCGGAACCGGCCTCTGGCTTTTTGGGTCAGGACAGGCAAAGGTTGCCCCTTGCAATCCCACGCCAGCATTGCAGACGGCCCGCCAGGAGGGGAGGGCCTGAACCAGGCCGGGGGAGGGTCTGGTGCGCTCCCTGCCCCTTCCGGAGTGGGAATCAAGTCCTCCTCCTAAGCTTCAGGAGGGTTGGCTCTTTCGGGCAAAGCAGGAGGGCGCCCGTGCTGCCTGGGTCAGGCGAACGTAGCCTTTTGGGGGTTGAGATAAACCAGACTCGGGGTTCAGAAGGTGGTGTGAAGCAGGCAAGAAGCACAGTGTGTGTGTGGGGGGGGCGCAGCTGCTTTGATGAAAGGAGCGGATGGGTGAACCAGGGGTTCTGTGGCCCCTCCCTTAAACGAAGGGGTAACCAGGGTTTGCATCCCCAGAAGGGGCCACTTGGGACAGAACAGAAGCCCAACCTCCAGCAGCCGTTTCCATGCAGCAGAGGATACACAAGTAGTCCTTGACTTACGACTGGTCAAGGCTGTCCCCCCCTCCCCCCACGATCACAGGACACATGTTGGGTGCTCGGCAACCGGTCTGCGTTTATGGCCACTCACAGCGTCCCATTTTTGCTGAAACCGATGTTGGCTTCCAGTTTTGGGCAAAATGACCCATAGGAAACAATGGGTTCGCTTAACGACCATAGCAAAAAGAGTTGTAAAATCAGGTCCGGTCACAAGATGACCCACTTTGTGACCATTACAACTTATGACCCATAATAGGCGGGCTCTGTTGTGGCTGTAAGTCAAGGACCTTCTGCAAGGCCTGGGTGAGAGCAGCCAGAGGCCAAGGTCGCGAGAGGCGGCCGGCAGTGGAGGGAGGCCGGGGGTCCCCTGGGGCTTTCCCTGCTTGCAAGGCTCCGGCCTTCCCTAACCTGCTACAGCCAGTCCTCGACTTACAACAGTGCATTTGGTTCATTCTTCACATTCTTCACAGTTGCGACCATCGCAGTATCACCACGGCCATGGGGCCAAAATTCACGGAGCTTGACAACTGGCTCGTATTTATGACGGTCACCGTGTCCCGGGGGCAGTCACATGACTCCCTTTTGCGACTTCCTGACCAGCAAAGCCAACCATGGTACTCATTTCGTACCTGCTGATGATTTGCTTAACGACTGTGGCAAGAAAAGTTGTCAAATGGGGCAAACCTCATTTAACAAAAGTCTCACTTAACAACAGAAATTGTGATTGTAAGTCGAGGACTACCTGTATTATCTGTCAAATGCCCTGAAGGGTGTGTGGGGGGGGGGGGAGTGACCCCTGGGCAGAGTCCTAAGGAAACAAACCAGCCGTGGGGTTGGAGACCCCGGAAGACTTCCTCGTCTACAAACCGGACTCTGACCTTTGGCCCCGGGGCCACCAGAATGCCCTCCTGCCCACCTGCGCGTGCCCCAAGTTCCCTCTGCCTTTACGAATGATGAGGGTTCCCTACTTGTCGATGTTGCTTTGCCGTCTCTTCACCTCCTCCAGATGATACAACACGGACAAGCCACGGAGGCGTCCGAGGCCCTTCTGCTTCGGACCCTTCCTCTTCTTCTGACACAGCTCCTTGGGGGAGGGGAGGCTCAGCGGAGTAGGGGCCGCCTCCCAGGGCCAAGGCCCCCCCTCCTCTCCTGCAGGCCGCTGGGCTGCACAGCCGGACATCTAAAGAGAGGGAAGCCAAGCGGCTTTATGTTGGTCCTGCTCAAGTTCCTTCTAAGCAGGGGTCTCTCCAACCTTGGCAGCTTTAAGCCTGGTGGACTTCAACTCCCAGAATTCCTTTGCTGGCTGGGGAATTCTGGGAGTTGGTCCTCCAGGCTTAAAGTTGCCAAGGTTGGAGAGACCCCTGCTTAGAAGGACTTCATGCTTCAGTGACTTAGAAATAATGTCCATTTCAATCCAGGGAGAAGAAGGGACCCCCTGCTTATCAATCAGAAGACGCCGGTTCCTTGGCTTCATCGTTGAACCTTCAGCAAGAGTTCTGTGGGGATGGAGCAGCCCCCTCGGAGGGTAACCACACACGTGTCTGGCCCATAGACTGGGGAATAAAGGAAGTATTGGAAGTGATTCTACGTTTAGTGGGATCAAGTTAAAAGAGGAATTATCTTCTACACCTATGAAAGAAGAAGGGGAAGAGGAAACACTCCTTTTCCAGGGACTGTACAATCCCTCTCACCGAAAAGAAAATAGATTTTTTTCTTCTTCTGTACTCTCCACACATACTCAGCTGAACCATTGCAGACTGATATTTAGGGAGGGGCCTTAAGGAAAAAAGGGGTTATTAAGCCCAGGCCATACCTTTTGTATGCAAATCGCTTCCTCTGGAAAAGCCACATTCCAAAGATCAGCTCCTCTGAAATGCTACAGAATACTAATGCCCACAAAGAAGGGGGTTGGTCAGTGGGCCTGGACCCCAGATTCCACCCTTCCCCAAGATTCATCTCACTGGCATGGGAGTGTGTCCGTTTGGGCTCTGCAGGGCTGGTGAAACCCTTTTGCCCAGCTATTTCACAGCCCCCCCCCCAGTGCCCCCCAGCATGGCTCCTCAGATCTTGGGGGCCCCATGTTTTTCTCTGCAAGGCCCATGGTGCTGAACCAAACTCGGCTTCTGTGGCTTGTGCCAGACTGGATTCCGACTGCCCTCGATCAGGGGTGCTTTGGGGAACCTTCTGCCATCCTGCACGCCACCACACGTATGGGCCAAGCACTGTGGCTGGGCAGAGGCCAGGGAGGGTGGTAAGGTTTGGGGGTCAGGGGGAAGATTTCTGTTTGGGTCAGCAGGCCCCATTAATCCCCACTCCCACCCAGCAAAGTCATGAACATCCCTAATTAGCACCTCCGGGTGAGCTAAGCGTGACAAAATCCTGACCCCTGACCCAGGCTCTGCCCCACTTCAGAAGGTAATTTAATTCAGGAAAGGGAAGTGTGGAGGACAGAAGCAGAATATTCCCAAGTTTACCAGGAGACGTGGCTTTTAGAAACCAGATTCACTCCCTTTTCTTTATGGGTCTCAGGCAGCAATTCTCCTTCAGGAGATGGTGGCAGCTGCTGAAGCTCACGTGGGCCCCCTCCCCACCCCCACCAGAAGGAGACTTGAGCAGGGCATCCATCTGTCTGTCATCTGTCTGTGGCCAGGATGGCTTCTCCATTTCAAAGGCACCCTTTGAATAAGAGCAGGGAAACCATCAAACAAAGGATGGGCCTGAGCCGGGCAATCAGGAGTGCCTTTGTAGGGTGGATACCAGGGAGAAGGCTGGTCCAGCAAGACATGGCCCTGCCCTACAAATTCTGGGTTTGAGGTCAAAGACAGGAACCCCAAATGCTTAGCCCGAAGCCCCCACCAGGCTTTGCTAAATGAGTAATTTAGCTCAGGGTGTCTGTGTGTATCTTTGTCCTTCCAGACCAGAGTGGATCCAGATCAGCTTGGTCCCCTGTTGCTTCCTCCCAGAGTCTTTGGTCTTCCCTCTGAAGAAGGGAAGGGGGGAGCCTCGGCCTTGCTCCGTCCGCCCAGACGGTCAGTGTCATCTCAGCCCATGGGATCAGGGGAGGCCTGGGATCTTGCCTCCGAGACTTCCCCCCAAAGACCAGGGCAGCCCAATGCTACACCTGGTGGGAGCCCCAAACGGTGGAAAAGATATCCCACCGTAGGGAAGTTATTCCCTGGGAGTGGCGGTCGGGGCATCTGGTGATGCAGACAAAGGTGCCCTCATCAGGGGTGGGCAGCAAAGGGAGGAGGTCCTGCGGCCACAGCACCCTCCGGACAACCCCCAGGACGGAGTCTACTGCTCGCTTGGACCCTCTGCCCAAAGAGGCTGCCTCTCCCAGGTGGCTCAGCCAGGCAGGGGTTCCTTCGCAGGCTGAAGTCTTGTGTGTCGGAGGTTTTCCAGGTAAATCATGGCCTTCCTTTTCCTTGCTCCGTGGGGTCTCCTATAAAGCACTGGGGTCCCCCAAGGCACACACAAAGCCCAGCTTAACCGACAGACAAACTCCGCTTGTGACTTCTACTTTTCACAGGGAAGAAGCAGGCGGAAAACCAATGATTGAAAAGAAGGCCTCATCCAGGCCATTAAAACCTACCAGCAGAGGTGGGGCCTCCTGGTATTCTTCCATCCAGAGGGAACTGAAAGGGAAACGGGCAGGGAAGTACTATTGGCTTTTACTTCGGAATTCCTTATATATTAAATTTAGGAGAAATAATCAGCTGTAGGAACTCAGCTGGACCTGGTGCAAATCTTTAAATTTGGAATCATTGGCTAGAATGGCAAGTCAAAGCAAAAATTCTGATTTAGTGCTTGCGAAGAATCTCTTAGTCTCATCAGCAAATAACTTTTCCAGAAACAGGGAGCAAAATCTTCCTTCTTGCAAACAAAAGTGAGCCATAGCTTCCCAATGTAATACAGGTAGTCCTCGGCTTACGGCCACAATGGAGCTCAACATTTCTGTTGCTAAGCAAGACAGCTGTGAAGTGAGTTTTGCCCCATTTTACAACCTTTCTTGCCACACTTCTTAAGTGAATTACTGCAGGTGTTAAGTGAGTAATGCAGTAATCTGGCTTCCCCACTGACTGTGCTTGTCAGAAAGTCGCAAAAGGGGATCACATGAATCTGGGACACTATGACCGTCATGAGTATGAGTCAGTTGCCAAGCGTCTGAATTTGAAGCATGTAACTGTGGTCGTAAGTGTGGAAACCAGTCATAAGTCACTTTTTTCAGTGCCGTTGTAACTTCGGTCACCAAGTGGGAGGTTATAAGTCGAGGACTACCTGTATCAGGGAGAGAAACCTGGAACGGTGTTTTTCCCCCCACGATCTCACCTGCCAGGATCGCGAAACGTACCTTGGCTGCTGAACAAGCCTGTCCCAAAAGTCGGTGGTGCAATGGGCATCGCTGGAGGGGGCAACCTCGGGCTGATCTCTGCTGACCATCTTGGACTGCCTTGAAAACAGGATGGTGCAAAGCCATTAGTTTTCAGCCAATTATTTTGCAAGAAAATGTCCTTATTGCATTACCAACAGAATCTGGCGTGCTATTAAAACACCTGACGTTGCTCAGAGGTGGAAAAGGAGACGGAGCGTTCGATGGTTGTGGCACCAACGCATGGAAGCACTTCCGTCCCTGGATCGCACTGCCCTCCTGTCCAATTCCCTCAGGCCGCTTCCTCTTCCTTTTGACACAATTCCAGGAGAGGAATCAAAAGGCGTAATAGAACCAGCCTTTCCTGGAAGTCAACCGTTTCACTACAGAAATGCAAGCTCGGCCTAAGAAGGAAAGGAACAATAAGTTCCTCCTGCGGTGATGGATGGAGTTGTCTCAAAGTTTGGGGCAATGTCAAAGGAAGCAGAGCAGACTGAATTTGTTCCAAGGAAAAGCTCATCTTTTATCAATATGTAACAGTAAAATAATACTGAAGAAAGATTAAAATAGCTTATCAGAAGCTACACAAGAAACTCTACAGAGAGCCTAAGAAACACAATCATTTGAAAGGATTAAAGTTCAACAAAAGGCAGAAATTCAGTTATAATCAGTTATGACTTCTAGCAGAATTTCTCTTGGGTCAAATGGCAAGGACTAACAGCCATAGAGTGGCTGATGAAGCATTCATTTCTGGTCCAAGGGTTAAAAGCAGTGCAAAAGAGGAAGAGGTCATATTACAGTTGAGGGTTCAAACACCTTTGGCCAGTGCAAAAGTCCAATGTGCAGAGTGGAATTTATCTGTGGAAATGTGTGCGAGGCTGCACAGAAATTAAGCACCAGGTGGCAGCAGAGACCAAAAACCCTCCTCCCTCCTGCCATCTAGGGGCGGCCTGCAGTTCTGCTATCCAGAATGGGAGCCCTAAATTTAAGGCTACCGAGCGGCATCTGCCTTGTGGTTGGTATTTGGTGACAGTGATACTTGACAATTATAGTTCAAAACAACGACTGAAGGAGTAACTGGGCTTACAGGTATGGCAAGGAATAAGAGATCCATTGAGATACTAGTTTGGCTCTGTATTGCATTATTTATTAACTTTTCATGGTGATGAACGTATAAGGCAGTTGATAAACAAGGACTCCCTGCATAGCATTAAATTTTTAAAGCCCACAACTAAGTAAATGCAAATATTCAAACAGAGTTCAGGTCAATTGGGAAGACTTTGCAACGTATTTATAGCTTGGAAAATGGATTTAATTTTCATTACCCATTTATTGTCGTCTGTTCCCCGAGTTCTTTGGCGTTAACTTATTAATATTTATTGGCATGGTTTAATTCAATTCCTTTTTAATCATTTCAAAGCTTCAAAGATACGGAAAAGAATTAGACAACCGTGCAGTCAGCAACACACCATGTGATGTCTTTGGAGGCAGAAAATATTATCGAATTCATCATCTCCATCACGAGCAGAAGCTCCTGTGGAGGGTTTGGTTTTATGTAACTCGTGCCCACGTGTCTCTTGTTGAGTTCACACTTCCACTAATATTCATAGCCCCTTTGCCTCTGCTTCTGGAGTGCGGCGATGCCACAGACTGAAGCCAAACGCAACTGGTTTAATAAATATATCACAAGACCTAAAAAATGTCTGCAAAGGCAGCTTTAATCCAAAGCAAGAGGCACCTCCTAATCTGCCAAAGAAAGAGGAGGAATCTTTTGCAGACTGCGGCTAAGATGTGGGCCGTTCCAATCAGCTTTCCCTGCTGCCTGCCGGTCACTCAGGCCACAAGGCTCACTTGTTTGCCCTGCCCGTGGATCCCTGTTCCATAAGCAGTGTCAGAGATAGGTAGTCCTTGACTTACTTAGCCCCAAGTTTCCACTGCTAAACAAGACAATTAAGTGAATTTTGCCCCATTTTACAACCTCTCTTGCCACAGTTGTTAAGATTCACTTAACAACAGAGTTAGGTGAATCTGGCTTCCCCACTGACTCTGCTTGTCAGAAGGTTGCAAAAAGTGATCACGTGACCCTGGGATACTGCAACTGTCACAAGTACATGCCAGTTGCTAAGTGTCCACATTTTGATCATGTACTGTAGGGATGCTGCGATGGTCGCAAGTGTGAGAACCGGTCATAAATCCCCTTTGTCTGTGCCGTTGTAACTCTGAACGCTCACTAAACGAATGGTTGTAAGTTATGGACTATCTGTACTAAGGTATAGCTTACGATTTGTAGGGTTTCTCAGTCATCCAGGTTGTCCCAAAGGGGCTTTTTCAAAGGGCAACTGGACTTTGCATCCTGACTCAGGTGACCCTGAAGGGCAGAGGTAAACCCCCAAGTGGCCTCAACAACTGATGACCGGATGATCTTCCATTCCTCAGCCTTCAGTCCGCACGGAAGAAGCTTCTTGGATGGGAAGTGAAACATTTTCAAGGGGAAAAACAAGAAAGCCCAGCTGCCTTTTGAAAAAGCCCCTTTGGGACAACCGTGACTTGGATGGTTGAGAAGCTCCACAGACGTCCAACTTCATGACTTGGCTTAATAAGAGATTCCCAACCATCCAGCTCACGGTTGTCCCAAAGGGGCTTTTTCAAAAGGCAGCTGGAATTTTTCACTTTTTTTCCTTGAAAACATTTTGCTTCTCATCCAAGAAGCTTCTTCAATTCCGGATGAGAAGCGAAAGGCTTTCAAGGGAAAAAAAATTAAGAAAGCTCAGCTGCCTTTTGGAAAAGCCCCTTTGGGACCCCCAGGCCTTCTGGACTCCCCTCGGCCTGCACGGAAATCCCCGATATTTCGCTTTTCTCCCCATTTTCGGGGAAGAACGTTTGCGAGGCCAGCGGGGCCCCGAGGGCGTCTTCCTGGGGCGGCAGCTTCCAGAGGAGCCCGGCTCGCTCGGCTTCCCTGCCCAGCCGCCTCGGAGCAGCCCCCGAGGGGACCCCGGCCTCCTGGGCAGCCTCTGCGAGGGCTGCTCTCCCCGCCTTCCCTGGAGCATCCGCCGGGCCCCCGAGGGGCACGTACTTCACGAAGGGCCCCAGCGTGGCCCCGCCGCCTTCCCCCACGGCCTCCGCTCGGCCCCCTCCGTCCATCTTGCGGGCCCAGGAGAAAGGAGCCCGGGCAGAGCAGCCCAGAGGGCGGACCAGGGAGGGGGGCTCAGGCCGGGGGTCGGCCCGTAAAAAGGAGCCCCGGGGATGCCGCAGCGGGAAGGCCCAGACGAACCCTCAGCCGCCCCTGACAGGAGGCCGAGGGGACTACCGGCCCCAGAAGGCTCTGCGCGGGCGCCGCGGGGCACCCTGGGAGCGAAGGGAGAGGCGCTCCCGCCCTCAGCGCGCCAACACCCAGCGGCGGCCGGCAGGGGGCGCTCCGAGGCCGCAGAGCGCGGCTGCCGCGAACAAAAGGCAGCGAGGGGGGAGGGGAGGGGCCTCCGGCTGGGGGAGGGGCGCAAGGGCGGGGCAGGAGGCTTATTCCCCTGTTGTTGGGCGGGGCGTCCGGGGGGGGCCGCGGGAGAGAGACCCCCCCTTCCTTTGCTGCTGCTGCTGCTGCAGAGCCGCCGGCGGGCGGTGGGGGGCGGGGCGGGGCGGGCGTCCTACCTGGCGGGGCTGTTGCTGGGCCGGAGCGCGGCGCCCCTTTAAGAGCCGGGGAGGGCCGGGTCTCTCCGGTCTCGCGACATTCCTGCCCGCCCCGCCCCTCGCCCGCCCGGCATCTGCCTCGCCTGCCGGGCGCTGCCCGAGGACGCCGAGCCCAGCCGAGCGGAGGGAGCAGCGGCGGCGGCCGCGGAAGGTGGGCGGCGGCCGGAGGGGGCGCTGGGGGGGGGGGGGCTCGGCCCGGGACTCTGCGGGTGGGCGAGGGGAGGGGAGGGAGGGGGTCTCGCTGCCGTCGCCTCCTCCCCCCCTCCCTCCCTCCTCCTCCTCCGGGGGGGGGGGGGGGGGGGGGCGCAGGACGCGGCGCTGCTTGCAGGGGCTGAGCTGGGCGGGAGGCGCGCCAGGCGGGGAGGGGGAGGGGGAGGGGGAGGGGAGGGGGTCTCTCTCCGACCGCAGCGGATCCCGCCCTGGGCGGCCTGGAGGAAGAAGCGCTGGTCCCTCGGCCGCTTCTACCCCGAAGAGGCTCGGCCGGCGGCTGTGCCAGGGCTCGGGAGAGGCTGGGCTGCCCCCTCGGTTGCCTCTTGACTTTTCCGGCGCTTTCTGGGGAGGGGGAGCTGCTCTTGCATTGGGAAGATGAGCTGAGCCCCCCTCCCCCCTCCGGCTCCTCCTCCTCCTCCTCGGGCTCCAAAGGCCGATCTGGGAGGGAGGGAGGGAGGGAGGGAGGCCATCCCATAATGCCCCCACCTGACGGCTGGCCTGGCAGCTTCAGCTCACCTTCCCTGCCTGCCAACTGGGTGGCAGATCCGAGGGTCTTGCAATGAAAGCAGGTGCCTGGAGGAGGTGGGCTCTGCCTCCTGGCCACACTTGGCTGGCATTGCTGTGGCTGCCGTTTTGCCCCCTTCCTCTGGAAACCCGGTGGCTTCTGCATCTAGGGCAGCCCTCCTGGCCTTTTGGCACTCTCCCCAGGCATCCCTTTGCTCCCCCATCACCCCCCCACCTTCAGTGCCCTGAGCTTGGCCTTGGGGCATTCAGGCTTCTCTGGGGCACCTTGCCGGAGGTTGGCTCGGCCTCTGCCCCGGGCAGAGCCAATTTGGGCAAAGCCTAGTCCACGGGCCACGGTCGGTCACGTGGCGGAGGGATCCCGAGAGGCTGTGGATGAGGCTGAGCTGGGCAGCCGGGCACTCAGAGCTGCCCGGAGGAAGGGAAGGGACCCTCGTGACGCTGCCCTGATTGCCAGCTCCCTGGGCTTTGGGTGCCCTTCCTTTTCGGCCTCCTGTGTAAATGCCGGCTGTGCCATTAGACCTGGAAACGTGGTGGTGAACGTTTCGTGACCCACTGCTGCTGCTTTTGCCGCTCAGCGGCCCCCCGCCCACTTCTCCGCTTGCCCCGTGTGCCGAGATCCGCTCTCGGGGCTGGTTGGCGCAAAGCAGCAATTTTGAGAGCTGCGTCTGAGGCTGAACCAGCCAAGAATGCAGCCGTGCCCTTCTCTCTGCCCTTCCCGGCAGTTTGGGTTCCCCTCTGGAGCTGTCAGAAAGCCGAGATCAAAACATGGGCGTGTGTGTGTGTGTGCCGACTTCTGCCCTGCTCTGGGACTGGCACCTCCCGTGTGACATTTCACAGCAGGGAGACCCAGCCAGGGAGGCCGTTGCCGCCTCTGACTGCTCCACCCGTTGTGCTGGGAGAACCTTGTCCAGATTTCCGGCCTGTCTTGGCCAGTGGGATCGAGGCCAGATGCAGCCATTGCCACACACACACCCCCAATTGCAAGAGAGTGTGGGGAGGCTCTGATTTGCAAGGTTTTCCACCTCCACCGAAGGGTCCCGGTTTCTCTTTGCCCTGCCTTCACCAATGGAGGAGGAGGAGGAGGAGGAGGAGGGCTGCTCCCTTCCGAAGGGCCGGATTCCTTAGCGCCTCCGTCAGATGCTGGTTAGGTATTGTAGGAATCCTCCAGGGGCAGGAGAGGGAGAGACGGGCTCTGGCCCACTGACAGCCAAGCGCTGCCCTGCCTTTTGCCCGCCTCCGTCCTGCTGATAACAGGGAGGAATGGCTGCAAGCTCGGCTCTCGGATGGTCTGCCTTCCTTGAGGGGCTCAGCAGCCCCTCCCTCCTCCTCTGCCATGCCTGGGCTGCCACTTGTCCTGGCACGCCAACTTCCAGGTCTCTGCAGGGGTCCCGTGCCTGATCATAGCCCTTCCTTCACTTACCGGTAACTGGCATCAAAGGGCCTCTCGCCCTGTAATTTAGCCGAGCAAAATCGGGGATTAAGAGCCTCCTTCCGCTTTGGGGGACGCTCGCTCTCCTCTCCGTGGGGACTGCCTGGCCCTCCATGGGGGGGGGGGAGAAGTTATCAGTGCCCCTTCCTGCCAGAGCAAAGGGGCTGGGGCATCTTCCAGAGGGCGTGTCCCTGTTTCCTACCTGCCTGGCAGGTGATTACAGGGATTAGCAGAACTCGGGGTGGAGAAGCATCAATTAAAGTCTTACTGCCCCCCCCCCTTGGTTGCCTGGCAGGCTCCCCCACAGGCTGAGGGCCCCAGAGTGGTCTGAATCCTTGGCACCCCCCCACCCACCCCCAGTGAACCAGACTGGCAGAAGCTGGCCAGCTTCAGCACGTGGGACTTTGTTCTGCGGGCTCAGCCATCTGCCCCAAGGGAGGGGGGAGGTCCGGAATCCCCCCCCCTCTGGTGGCTGAGTCTCCCTGGTGCACCTGAACAGGGCAGGAGGGAAAGGGGAGCGTGGGAAGAGGCCGTAGTGCCAAGCACCCGTTTTTGTGTTGTGCCCCAAGAGCTTCGCTGGGGATCAGTCAGATGGGGGAACTTGCCTGAGGAGGAGGAGGGGGCTTCCTCGCATCCGTGGCTCTGTCTGGGTGAGGGGCCAGAATAGCCAAGGGATTGTGAGCTCCCTCTGGGTTGGCACACAGTCGGCTTCCTCTGGGAAAGGACAGCTGCCCTCCCAGTCGCTCACTCGCTTGCCCGGCAGGCGGGCGGTTGTGTGGGTCGGTCCACACCCAGTGGCAGCACGGAGCTCAGGGGCCACAGGCAGGGGAGGGGCCACTTTCCCCTCCTGGGCAGGGGTGAAATATAAAATTGGTTACTACCGGTTCTGTGGGCGTGGCTCGGGGGTGGTGGGGTAATGTGGCTGGGTAGGGTGGCCAACTTTTTTTTTTTAACTTTAACTTTTCAAAGCATTTTTTCTAATGCTTTGAAAAGCCTCTGCCGATCAGGCAACTCAGCTGGGATCGTCAGAGACTTTTCAAAGCATTTTTTTTACCACCTCTTCGGCTAAGAGGTTGTAGAAAAAAATGCTTTTAAAGGTAAAAAAAAAAGCCTCTGATGATCGCGCGGCTCAGCTGGGCATGGGGGGGGGCAGGGATTTTTGCTACCGGTTCTCCCAACCACCCGCCACCATCGCTACCAGATCGTGTGATCCGGTCCGAACCGGGAGCATTTCGGCCCTGCTCCTGGGGCTGAAGGGGGAAAGCGAGACGCAGCCTGGCAGTGCCCTCCAAGAGGCCTTGAGAAGCCCTTGGGGGCCCAGAGCGGGGGGGGGGGGGGGAAAGAGCTGGGGGGTGTTTTCCAACCCAGGATGAGGATCCCACAGCTTTGGGGGCTGGGGTCTTTGCAAGGGCAGGGGCTTATTTAATACTTGCCAAAGCTGTGCCATCTGTCTTGGGGGGCAGGAAAGCAGAGTTCCTGATGGAAACCTGGGCAGATTGGCATGGCTTGACTTGCTCCCCTCCCACCTTTGCTTGTCCCTTCTGGTTGCCTGGCTTCTCGGGGGGGGGGGGGGGGGCGGGGGGGGCAGCCTCCGAAGTTAGCCTCAGTCCTTCCTCTGCTGTGGGGTGGGTGGCAGTGAAGGGACTCGGCTTGCCTCGGAGGAAGAGGGGCAGTTGGCAGAAATGGGCAAGCCAAGATCGGCTCCTGTGAGCAGCTGCTGGCCGCGTTTGCCCCTCTGCCCCGAACTGCAGGAGGGCACTGAGAGGAGGGCAGTTCTGCTGCCAGGGAACCCAGGTGGGTCTCAAGCGGTTCCCTCTTGTTCCCCAAAGCCTCTTCCTCGGGGGAGGGGGGGCAGAGGGCAAGAGAGGCCTGCAAGGAGGAGACTGCTGAGGAAGGGGGGGGGGAGCAGCACCCTCTCCTCCGTGCCCCCCCCCCCCCCCTGGGCAGGGGCCCAGGAGAGAGGGTGGGGAGGGGCTTCCTTTGCCCCCACAGGACCCCCCCCCCCCCCGAGCTACTCTGGTCTCCCCTTCCTCCCAGCCTCGGGGGGCAAAGGGCTGGGAGGAACCCAGGAGAACCAGGAGCTCCCAATCGGGAAGCCTGACTCACACCGACACAACTGGATTGTCTGCACAAGGGCACACTCGGCAACTCCGGCTTCTGTTTAGCCCGGCTGGAGCCTCCCTGTGAGAAGAAGACATGAATAAAATATTTTGCCCCCCCCCCCCCCCCGCCCCCTTTCTTTGCAAGCCCCCCCCCCCCCCCCCCCCCCCCCCCCGGCTGCTACTTATCTTGGCCGCCGCCCCCCCCCCCAAGCAGCCCAGGTGGAGGCCCCCGTCTGCTGCCGGCTGGGCCTGGCTCCCCTGGGCGGTTTGGCTGGGGGGCTGGAGGCCGGGGAGGGCCCCTTCATCTCAGTGCCCGGCAGAAAGGCCCCTCAGTGGCGCTTGGGCACGGGTGGGCGGGGCTTCCCTGAAGGGGGCGCTTGTGCAAGGGCCCACGTCTCTTGCGGCACCCGTGTGTGCGTAGGTGTGCCTGGGGCCGTGGAAAAGGAGGCTCCAAGCCGGTGCTCCCTCTTTCTTCCAGGCCTCGGTTGCCAGGGAACAGCTGTCTCGGCTAAAAATAATTTGATTTTTCGCTGTCATCAGCCGTCATGTGAGCGAAGAGGCTTGTTTTTCGGCCCCCGGGCTGGCTCTGGTGCCCTTGGGCTCACATTGTGGGAGGAGGGGCGCTGGGGTCCTGCGCTCCACACCCAGAGCGGGGGGGGGCAGAGGCCACCCCCAGGCGGAGACCCCAGTTGGCACCTGGCAGACCCCGACTGATTCTGCGGCCGGGTTCAAGGCTGGGGGGCAGCCTTGGGGAGGTTCCCGGGAGGGGGTCTGGGAGGGGGGTCCAGACCTCTCGGCAGAAGGCAGCCGGGCCTCCTGCCCCTGGACCCCGCAGGCCTGGCATCGCTGTGACTCACCCAGCCTGTCCTGCCAGGCGAGGGCCGGGCTGGTGTTTATCTGGGCCCAGTCGTGCGCAGGAAGGGCGGCGGGGGGGGGAGGGCTCTGCACAATGGGGGGAAGTCAGCGATCTGGGGAAGAGGGAGACCTGCAAATGGGGCAGGGAAGCCCCCAGCGACCTTGGAAGCTCCCGGCAGCAAATCAGTGGCAAGAGGGTGGGGTTGGCATGGGCACCACCCCAACTTCCCGAGGGTGATTTTGACTGGCAGTGGTTGTAGGTTTCTGGCAAGAATTCTGTGACAAGGTTGGCAGGGCGGCAGGGCGCATAGCCCACATCTGGGGCTGGTGTCATGGGCTCCCCCACAGTCCTGGGGGGGGAGGAGGTCTGCAGAAGGAACCGTGAGGGTCAGTGGGGCTGAGGAAGATGCAGCTGGGGCTCTGGGCCGTTGAGTCGCTGGACGGTTGGCCCTTAGGCCGGATGTGCATAGAAGGGGGCACCGGCACCGCCGTGGCAGCTTTACGGAAGAGGCCGCTGCTGCCCCACCCCTGGGGACCCTCATCAGTGCCTGCTGGGGCAGCTGGCTGACCTGTGGGGCAGGGGGGGGGGGGGATGTGGAAGTGGCTCAGGGTAAGGATCTAGCCTGACCTGAGCAGGTTCCTAGGACACCTGGCTGGCCAAAAGGGGGGGCCTTGGGGCCCATCCAGCTGGGGGGGGCGCTTTGGCCTTCCAGGAAGAGGTTCATAAAGGGCCGTGGGAGGGAAGGAAATGGATATGTCCGGCCGGGGTCCCAAGACGGTGTCCCTTCTCCTTGCCTGCTGCCCCACCTCCTGGCTGAGGGGGAGGGGGCTGGCTCCCCTCCCAAGGAAGCAGCTGCTCCCTTCTTCCTGGAGGGGGGGGGGAATGGGGGGGCCTGGGGGGGGGGGGTCCATTGAGCAGAAGCAAGTGGTGAGCAGCCGGCATGGTTACCTGGCATTCATCCCCAATTCCAGGCAGGGGGAAAACTCCACAGATATCCGGCTCACAAAGGAGGCCGCTGCTTGGACGGGCTCTCCCTTTCCTGCGTGTTGGTCCTCGGCCAGGAAGAGGCCGGTGCTGGGGTGGCCCGAGGGAAGCCTTTGACGTCACGGCTGTGGCCCCGTCCCTGCCCAAAGCGGAGGGCCGTCAGGCGCCCACACGGGGTCTGGTGTTGATGGAGGTGGGGGCTTCTGGTTGGGGCCACGTTCGGGTGTGCAGAGGCCTGGAGTGGTGAGTGCTAGAGCCCCCCGGCTGGGGCCCTTGCAAAGTGGAGCTGCCTGCTCAGTGAGCTCAGAAAGGAAGGGGCCTTTCAGCTGTTCCCTTGGTGTGGGGCTGGTGCCTGGGCACCGGCCTCTCCGGGGAGACAGACTGGGGGGTTACGATGGAACCCCCACCTCTTTTCTCCACCCATCAATCTACTGCTTAGAGGGCAGGCCTGGGAGGCTGCTGGTGCTTTTTTTTTTTATATATGCCGCCCTTCTCCGGAGACTCAGGACGGCTTACAGTGCGTTAAGCAATAGCCTTTATCCTTTTGTATATTTTTTATACAAAGTCAGCTTATTGCTCCCACAAACTGGGTCCTCAATTTACCTACCTTAGAAAGGATGGAAGGCTGAGTCGACCTTGAGCCTGGTGAGATTCGAACTTGCAGTAATTGCAGGCAGCTGATATTAATAACAGGGTGCTTCTTAGGTGCAGGCTCCAGAAAAGGGATTGGGGCAGGGGGAGGGAGATTGCAAGGAGAGGAGAAGCCTGGCCCTCCCTGGCCGGGACAGGGATGGTCATCTCTGTCCCCACCCACCCCCACCCTCCAGCCGTTCTCCGATCCTCAAAAAGGTTAGAGTGGACCAAGCTTCGTGATCCATCCGCGTCTTCCTGGGCTCCAAGCTGGGTTTGCCCTCCCCTCTGCTGCCTGGAAGGGTTTCCTTAGCGGGCCGAGCAGGTCAGGCCGTTCCAGGGCAGTATCTGCTTGCAGAGCAACCCCCCCTCGGCCCCCTGAAGGCCTCCAGGCAGGAAAGGCTGGCCCAGAACGAGGCCTTTGGCTTTTCCTGAGGGAATCTGGGGGGCCCTGGCAACAGGCCCCTCTTCCCTCAGCAGGCCTAACCCTGAGAGGAGGCTCTGCAGGGATTGCCAGCCCCTGCTGCCTGCCTCCCCTCTGGCGTTGGAGGGTTTTGGAGAGAAGGAAGGGGGCCCCTGTCGGTCTTCAGATGAGACGCTCGCTTGGTCTTTCGGGGGGCCTGGCACTGCTGACCTCCTTCCTCGGTGGGATTTGGCATCTCCTGGATGCTGAATCCCCCTCCCCACCAGCTTTAAGCCGTAACCCACCATGCGCTGCCATGGTTTCGTGTCAAGCCAAGACACGGGCAGCCACCGTCCTGGGGTGCATTTCCCAAGGGCCTTGGGGGGGTCTCTGGGTTTTGCTCCGTCATCCCCCGTAGCGCTGCCAGGGTCAGGAGGAGCCAAGTGCGCGCGCACGCACACACAACCACACCCAGACGCTTGCACCGCCTGGAGGTTTTTGCTCAGTGACCCAAATGGGGAGGGGGTGTGTGCTGCGTTTCCTGAGGATGGGTGTGTGTGCAGTGGGGGCGGGCGGGTTGTCCAGCCGGTTCCTGGGAAGGGCCCAGCCCGGTCCTGGCATGTGGTTCGCCTGGCTGCCTTTGGCCCTTGGAAGCGTGTGGGTTGTGGGGAGCCTCCTGGGCGGAGGGTCAGCGTCAGGAAAGTTCTGATGGGAACAAAGTGGGAGAGGCGTAACCAGTCCCCCCCTTTGCCTGGGGCATAGCCGGGGTGTCCCGTACGAGGCCTGATCCCGGTCGAGCTGGGAGGAAGAAGCTCAGGGCCCCGTCTGCCCCTCCTCTTCCGGCAGGTAAACTGCCCCCCCAGCTGTTGTCCAGAGGGAGCCAGGATGGCCGGCGCGTCCGTCAAAGTGGCCGTCCGGGTGCGGCCCTTCAACGCCCGAGAGATCAGCCACGCGGCCAGCTGCGTCATCCAGATGCAAGGACCCACCACCTGTGAGTTTCCCGCCTGCTCCCCAAGGACTGAAGGGGGCAAGATATAGCAGGGGTGGTGTCGGGGGGGGCAGTGGTGAAATCCTCCGTGGATTGCCACTGGTTCGCTACCCGCGTATGTGCGGTGCACGCCAAAAGCACGCTGCACGCACACACATGCACAGTGCATGCCAAACATGCGCTTCACACGGAAAAAGGAGGCTTGGGAAGGTAAGTAGACCAGCGGGGGGGAGGGAGGGAAGGGCTGTGCCGTGATTTAGCTTTGCTAGAAAGGAGGATTTCCTGCTTTCTAGCGAATATAAACCGCGTGGCACAGCTGATTGTCGGAAATGCCGGTTTGGAGGAACCAGTAGCTTTTTTTAACTACCGGTTCACCTGAACCCGTAGTTTTTTATCCGCACCTGTTTGCCCGAACCAGTAGCATTTCACCCTGGAGGGGGGCATCCTGCCAGGGGTGTCTGTGACGAAAGGGCCCCGGGCAAATAACTTTCAGACGTTGCTGGCAGCCTTGACGCTCTGCTTGGCTTCCAAAGCCTAAGCGATTGTGAATAAGAGCCTCCAGGTTCAATGGCAGTCTACCTCTGACTTGTTAAGGAGTGGCATCAGTGGAGGAGGGAGGCGGCTCGTGGCCTCGAGTCCCATCTTACCCTCCTTTCACCTCTCACAACCGGCTTGGCTGCTGTGAGGAAAGGCCTCTGATTCCATGCCTGAATGGGCTGCGCTCCTGCCAGAGAGGCAGGCAGGGCCCACTTGGGTGAGGGTGGGAGCTGGCTCACTTGCCCACGTGGGTATCCTAGCCCAAAGCAGCCCCCCCCGGCCTGGCCTGTGAGCCTTCCAGATGCAGCTGCTGGTTGCCCAGGCAGTTGAAGCCGGGTTCCCAGCAGAGCCTCCTCCAGTGCTTGAAGGCAGCCGTGTCCTCCTGCCAGGGCTGCCTTTGCCATTGCGGATGTGGCAGAGGGGCTCCCCTTCTCTCCTCCTCGCAGGCATCGCCAACCCCAAGCAGGCCAAGGATGCCCCCAAGAGCTTCACCTTCGATTACTCCTACTGGTCCCACACCTCGGTGAGTGTCGCTGTGGGGAGACGGCTGCACTTGGCTGTCCTGCGTGGGGGTCCCTCCCTCCCCCCCCCCCCCCCTCCTTGGACGGGGCCAGCTGCGTCCGGCACCCCACGTGAGGCACCCCACCTCTCTTGCAGGAGGACGACCCCCACTTCGCTTCCCAGCACCAGGTCTACAAGGACATAGGGGAGGAGATGCTGCTCCACGCCTTTGAGGGCTACAACGTCTGCATCTTTGCCTACGGGCAGACGGGGGCCGGCAAGTCGTACACCATGATGGGCAAGCAGGAGAAGGACCAGCAGGGCATCATCCCTCAGGTGCCTGGAGCGGAGGAGGCGGCTGCCCTCGGGAGCCGGCAGGGGAGGCGCTTCACAGCCGCCTTGCCACAAGTTGCTTCTCCCCGGCCTGCAGCCCCTCAACCCCTCCGCCATCCCACATCGCTGGGATGTGGGGCTAGGGAGGGAGGGGAGGCAACCCGCCCAGCCTTGACCCCCCCCCCGTCTCTCCCTTCAGCTCTGTGAAGACCTCTTCCTCCGAGTGGCCGAGGAAGCGTCGCCCTCCCTGTCCTGCTCTGTGGAGGTACGTTGGGCAGCTGTCCCCCACCTCACTCCCACCCCACGATCCTCAGTCTGAAACACCCCCCCCCATTTCTCCCCAGGTGAGCTACATGGAGATCTACTGTGAGCGTGTGCGGGATCTCCTGAGCCCCAAAAGCCGTGGGAACCTGCGTGTGCGTGAGCACCCCATCATGGGGCCGTACGTGGAGGGCCTCTCCAAGCTGGCCGTCACATCTTTCGAGGACATCGCCGACCTCATGGACTGCGGCAATAAAGCCAGGTGAGGGGGGCCGGGGGTGTCTGGCCCTGGGCTAAGGAGGGCCTTCCTCCTCCACTCTCCTCCCCTCTCCTCCCACAGCCACCCAGACAGCCAGTGCCCAGGCCTGTGGGGGGGGGGGGGGCTGCTCCAAAGGCAGGGCATGGGGGAGTCCTGGAATGGGACCAAGCGATCCCAAATCGGTGGCTGTTCCAGGAAAGAAACGCAACCCCCCCTTCACTGATTTGCCCTCCCAGGACTGTGGCTGCAACCAATATGAACGAAACCAGCAGCCGCTCCCACGCCGTCTTCACCATCGTCTTCACCCAGCGCCGGCATGATGAACTCACGGACTTGGACGCTGAGAAGGTGGGAGGGCCGGTCTCGTCCAGGAGGTGGGCCCACCTGCGGGGGTCTCCCATGAGGTGCCCAAGGTTGGAGGGCCCCTTTAAGACCCTCGAGGTGGGATGAGTATTTCTAATGGAGTCCAGCTGCTTTGCGTGCTCGCCTGACACTGGTGGCCTTCCCACCCGGGGGCTCTGGTGGGAAGGAGCATTGATGTGTGGCTGCGTGGCCGGGGTCAGTCAGCACGGGGGAACTCTTGCTGCATCAATTTGGGACCCCTGAAGACAGCCCCCGGGGGACTCCAGTCCTCACCCTGTGCCCCCTCCCCTTCTCCCCAGGCTAGCAAGATCAGTTTGGTGGACCTGGCGGGCAGCGAGCGAGCGGACTCGTCGGGCGCGAAGGGCATGAGGCTCAAGGCAAGAAGGCAGAGTTGGGCCGGGTCTCCTGGGTCTCAGGCGGGTGGGTGGGCAGCGCGAGCTCCGTCCTTTCTCCATGTCCATGGGGCTAAGCGTGGAATCTCTTCTACGCCCACTTTTCCAGGAAGGCGCCAACATCAACAAATCCCTGACCACCCTGGGCAAGGTCATCTCCGCCTTGGCCGAGATGGTGAGCAAGAGCCGGTCTCCTTCAGAGATTGTGGGGGTGTGGGGGGGTGCTTTGGGGACAGAGGGTGGGGGACTTGGACCGAGAGATGGGACAAGGGCTTTTTGGGTGCTTGGCTGGAGACATTGGGAGCGAGGGTAGACATGGCAGGTTCTGTGGGTGCGTTTCCCTCCTCTCCGCCCTGGGGGACCCTCTTCCCCTTCCCCCGACTCACTTCCCCTCCTGCCTTCCCAGCAAAGCAACCACAAGAAGAAGAAATCCGAATTCATCCCTTACCGGGATTCGGTGCTCACCTGGCTGCTGAAGGAGAACTTGGGTGAGTAGCTGAGCAACACCTGAGGAGGCCTGGACACACACACACACAGACACACTCTTTTATGAGTGGGCACCATGGGACATGTAGTTAGGGGCTCCTGCAGGAAAACAGGCTTCTGCAGCAGCTCAGCCAAAGCAGGGAAGGGAAGGTCTGGTCGAGCCTTGGCCAGGCGGAAGAGGGGAGGGCCCCCCTTATCTGTAACCCCCCTCTGGATGTCTTGGCTAGAGCTCTCCAGATTCTCCCCAGCCCAAAGGCTTCAGCAGAAGCTCAGAGGCACAAGGAGTGCTTGTTAAGGGTTGACGGGCAGAGGGACTTCCGGTTTTCCACTCCTGTGGGGGGGGAGGGGAGAAGAGAGAGAAGGCAGCCGGGTCTCTTCCTCTCCGCTTCCTCCCTTCTCCAGGAGGAAACTCCCGCACGGCCATGATCGCCGCCCTCAGCCCAGCCGACATCAACTATGAGGAGACGCTGAGCACCCTCCGGTGAGTGAGAAGGGGGACCCCGGAGGGGAGTCGGGGAATGTGGAGAGGGGCCCCTGTGTGGCAAAGATCCATGCCAAGGCCCGGCCCTTCCCCCCAGCCCCCCTTGTCTCAGTGCCCGTCTCCTCCTGCCCCAGTTACGCCGACCGTGCCAAGCAGATCCGCTGTAACGCCATCATCAACGAGGACCCCAACGCCCGGCTCATCCGTGAGCTGAAGGAGGAGGTGGCCAGGCTGCGGGACCTCCTCTCCGCCCAGGGACTCTCGGGCGCCTGCTTCTCAGGTAGGGGCAGATCTGGGTGCAGGGGAGGTGGTGGCCAGTGCGAGGCAGGCGGAGGGACCAAGTGAGAGTTTGGTGGAAGCCGGGAGACGCGTCCATCACTCGGCTTGTGTCCTTGCAGGGCCCGAGTCGGCCGATCCAGGCGGCGGACAGAGCACTCCCAGTGCGCCCTTTGCCTCAATGGCCCCCTCCTCCCTCCTGCTGGAACCCATAGCCCTCAATGGGGAGCTGGAGCTGCAGCTGCCGGACTCTGAGGAGCAGATGCTGTGCACGGAGGAGGCCATGGAGAGGCTGCAGGTGAGGGGCCCTCTGCTCGTGCCCCAGTTTCCCTCTGGGGCACAAGCGCCCAGGGTCTCCCCCGGCAGGGAGGCTGCCCTCCCTTTGCCTGGTTTCTGATACCAGGGACCCTCCAGTCTCTGCCCTCTGAGGGGCCCTTTCCCAGCAGTGAGCAGCCTCCACCCCAAGGCTCCCTGGCTACCAAAGGCCGCCCCATCCTCCCCAGCCACAGCAGCCCAGCACTTGTCGGTGGCTTCTCATCCTCCCTGGCGATACAGAGGCAGCCGCTGTGGCTCAGATCCCTCCCCCCCTTGCAGCACAGCCAGTCCCCTCCTTCTGCCCAGCGACGGGAGCTTGGGCAGAGGGGCTGCTTCTCAGGACCCACGTGCCTGAGCGACCTCCTCCCCCCCTTGTAGGAGACCGAGAGGATCATTGCAGAGTTGAATGAAACCTGGGAGGAAAAACTGCGGAAAACGGAGGCCATGCGGATGGAGAGGTGAGTGCAGGTGCCCTCCCCCCGCCTTTGTGCTCCAGTTCTGCCAGGGAGACCCTGGAGGGCCTGCTCAGTGGGCTGCAGGTTTATTTGCAGCTTCCTTCCTGGGGGGTGGGGGGGGCAATAAGGGCCCAAAGCCATCAGGTTGCCAGGGGAGTCCTCGGGGGGCATCTGAGCTGCCATCGTCCGCTGTGCACGGTTGGTGATGCCTCAGAGAAGCCCCGGCGGGGAGAGTCGGCTGCTCATGTCCTCCCTGCGGGAGAAGCTGCCGGCTGCCGGCTCTGACAGGTTGAGCGGTAGCTTTGCCACTTCCCCAGCGATGGTTTTGGTGTTCATTCAAGCAGAAGCTCCGTTGCCCAGGACCCCTGAGGTGCCCCAGGCAAACTTTCTGGATGGATGGATGTATTTTGTCGCATTTCTATGCCGCCCAACTGCCAAGGGACTCTGGGCGGCTTACAACAAAGAATAAAATAATGCGAACAGTCCCATAAAAAATGTTAAAAAGAAAAACATTAAAGACTTGAAAAACTTGAAAAACGTTAAAACACAGGCCCTCCAATTCGTGGCCAGGTCTCGCAAGATCCTTATAACGAGATCAACGGCCCCAGGCCTGTAGCTCTCCCAGTGACCCAGCCAGGGGCTCTCAGTGGCAGGGGTCTCTTGTCTTTGCTGCAGAGAAGCTCTCCTAGCAGAGATGGGCGTGGCTCTTCGAGAGGACGGGGGCACCGTTGGGGTCTTTTCCCCCAAGAAGGTAAGCTCCGTGTGCAAGGTGTGCCAGAGTGCGGCCACTTAGAATGGACTCATTGGGAGTCTGCCCTGTGGAGAATCTCCCCCCCCCACCAGCCCCAAAAGTGTTGCCTTGTGCACCCACAAAGGCAGCCCCCGTCCACCTCCACCCCGAGCCTGGCTACACAGGGTCCCAGCCCTGCAAACGGGCAGGAAGGTCCAGCTGGGCCAGGGGGAGGCTGTGCCCCACGCTGATGCCCATCTCTGCCCTCCCCAGACTCCCCACTTGGTGAACCTGAACGAGGACCCCCTGATGTCAGAGTGCCTGCTCTACCACCTCAAAGACGGCGTCACCAGGTGAGGCTGCGCCATGCCTGGCGCCGATGGACGGAGGGCTGGTCTCCCAGCTGGCGGACAGGGCGAGGTCAGCGGGCCTGATCGTCTCCACTCTCCCGCCTAGAGTTGGCCAGCAGAACGCGGACATCCGGCTGAGCGGGCAGTTCATTCAGGAGCAGCACTGCGTTTTCCGCAGCGTCACCTGCGAGTCGGGAGAAGGTGAGGCTCGGGACAGGCGCAGCTCCTCCCTCCGGTGTGACTGCCAGAGGCGGTCAGGATAACCGAGTCTCCTCTCCCCTCTCTTTGTGCTTGCCCGGAGCAGGGGGGCCCAGCCACGGGGCAGCAGGCAGCAGCAGGTATTGCCTTCTTTGGGTGTCTTACCGGATTGCGGGGGGCAGGGAGGAATCCCGGTCACCATCCTGCCCGCCCCAAGGTCCAGCTGCCACCCACTCTTCTCCATGCCTGGCACTTAGAATGCCCCTTGGGCCAGTGCCGCTCAAGGGCAGCCTGGGGCACGGTCGGCTCTTCCTCAGCCCCACAGGTGTGGGCTGCCTCCCGAGGGCCCCGGGCCCTGATCCCTGCCTGTCTCCTCCGCAGTCGTGGTCACCCTAGAGCCGTGCAGAGGGGCTGAGACATACATCAACGGGAAGCAGGTGATGGAGCCCCAGGTGCTGCGATCAGGTATTGCTGGGGGGCCATCCTGCCCAGGGAAGGGGGCTGCCGAGAGCATCTCCAGCTGGGGCCTCGAGCGAAGGAGGCTGCAGCCTCAAAGCCCCTCCTTTACCTTTGCCCCGAGGGTTGTGTGGCTTTCAAGACTCCTTCATTGGTTGGGAGATTCCCCCTCAAAGGGCCCGTGGTGGCCCCCTCGCTGCTTGGGGGTCTTTTCTGTGGGCAGCCAGCCCAAGTAAGGGGGAAAGGGGAGGGGCTCTCCTGGATGTGCCGGGGCCACCCACCCCAGCTTCCTCCACGGTCCCTGGAGCTGCTGCTGCTGTGATTGAAGCCTCCCCTTCCAGAGCTGACCTCCCCCTACTCGCCTTGCTCCCCGATCAGGCAACCGTGTGGTGATGGGCAAGAACCACGTCTTCCGCTTCAACCACCCTGAGCAGGCCCGGCTGGAGCGGGAGCGCAGCTTGCCCCCCGAGGGCCAGGCGGAGCCCGTGGACTGGAACTTCGCCCAGAGGGAGTTGCTGGAGAAGCAGGGCATCGACATCAAGCTTGAGATGGAGAAGAGGTGGGTGAAGCTGTGGGCCCTGCTTTCTCAGCCCCTCCTCGGGCTGTTTTCCTTTCCAAGGCCTGGGTGGGGGCTTTGACCCTGCTATGGAGGGGGGGCCCCGGGGACGGGGGTCGGAGGGCTCTGTGTGGCTGAAGCTGCTCAGTGTCCTCATCTGAATGTCCGGCTTTGCCCCCTGTGGGTCAGGCTGCAGGACCTGGAGACGCAATACCGCCGAGAGAAGGAGGAGGCGGACCTGATCCTGGAGCAGCAGAGGCTGGTACGTGGCTGTGTTCGGGGCCTCCCAGGCAGCCTCCGTGGGGAAAGCCAGGCTTGCTTAATGACAGCTTGCAACCACAGCACAAAGGTCATAAAATCGGGCGTGACTCAATTAATGACAGCATCAGTTGTGGTCATAAGTTAAGGACTATCTGTGCAATGCATTACAGGTAGTCCTTGACTTAACAATCTTTCATTTAGTGGCCATTCAAAGTTACGATAGTACTAAAAAAGGGACTTAGGACCATTTTCCACACAACCCTTGCAGAGTCCCTGTGGTCACGTGGTCAGAATTCAGACCCTCGGTGACTGCTTCATATCTACGATGGTCAGTCGATTCCCTTTGATGGTCGTCTGCCACGCAAAATCAATGCTAGATTCACTATACAGCCACGTTGCTAATTTAACTGCAGTGATTCACTTAAGAACTGTGGCAAGAGATTTTATAAAATGGGGCCAAACCAGTCGTGAGTCCCACTTGCCCTTTGCTACTGGTTCGGAGTCGGGAGTGCACGTGGTGCTTCTGGGCGTGTGCAGAGCACCCATGATGATGTCCGGGCAGGTGGGCGGAGCCTGAAGCAGGACGAACTGGTAGAAACCCACCACTGGGCCAAACCTACGGAACAACTGTCTCAGTAAGAAATTGTGAGCTTAGTCGTGGTTGTAAGTGAAGGAGTAATTTGTGTTTAATGTCTGTTTCTGCTGGAACCACTTGACCTGGAACACCCCCCTCCCCCCAATTCCCAGTATGCAGATTCGGACAGTGGCGACGATTCGGACAAGCGCTCGTGTGAGGAGAGCTGGCGTCTCATTTCCTCGCTGCGGGAGAAGCTGCCGGCCACTAAAGTGCAGACAATTGTGCGCCGCTGCGGCCTGCCCAGCTCAGGCAAGAAGCGGGAGCCGCTACGGGTGTACCAGATCCCGCAGCGCAGACGGGCGGCCAAGGACCCCCGCTGGCTGACCTTGGCTGACCTCAAGATGCAGGCAGTCAAGGAGATCTGCTACGAAGTGGCTCTCAACGACTTCCGACACTCCCGTCAGGAGATCGAGGCCATGAGCATCGTCAAGATGAAGGAACTCTGCCGTCTCTACGGCCGGCGCGACACAAACGAGCGTGAGAGCTGGCGCGCCGTGGCCAGGGACATCTGGGACACAGTGGGCGTGGGCGAGTCGGAGGGCCCCACAGGAGGCAGTCCAGCACCTGGGAACACGGAAACCCGGGTCAGCACACCAGGCGTGGAAGTCAGCGACCTCCGGGCACATATTGACAAGCTGACGGACATTCTGCAGGAAGTGAAGATCCAGAACAACATGAAGGACGAAGAGATCCGGTCACTGCGAGACCGGGTGGTCAAGATGGAGCAGGTCATCCCGGTGTCGCCCCAGGTGAGCAGATGCCCAGGTGGGCAGCAGGGTTTCCCCAAGGCCCGTTTACCCCTCCTGCTGTGCCATGGGGGTGTAACTCTGGCTTGCTTGAGCTGGTTTCGCCTCCTGCAGTAAATAAATGGAAGACACCGCACACCCTTGATGTCCCTCGCTAAAACACCCACTTGTTCTTGTGTAGAGTCTTGGGTTGGCCAAGCGTCCCTCACACCCCACATAATTCCTCCCCACCTTGTGTCTGGCCTGACCCACTCCGGGGAAGAAGTACCCTTCCTCCAGACCCCCTTGCCATCTCCCCATTTCTCTGCCCCCCCAGGAAGACGAAGAGCTGGAGCAGGAGTGGCAGTCGCTGCTGTTGGCACAGGAGGGCCGAGCTTTTGTGGCCGAGGGGGAGACCGGGGGCTCGGGGGATGCCATGACTCCCCAGGAAGAAGAGGGGTCCTTGCCCTGCGACCGGGTCTCCCGCCTGATGAAGAAGGACCCTGCCTTCCGCCGGGGGCGCCTCCGTTGGCTCCGCCAAGAGCAGCTGCGCCTGCAGAACTTGCAGCCGCAGCAGCCACAACAGCGCCGGGGGCCCAGCCGCTTCATCCCCCCGCAGGACTGCAAGCTGCGCTTCCCCTTCAAGAGCAACCCGCAGCACCGCTACTCGTGGGGGCCCAGCACCGCCTTCATGGTGGGCGAGGAGAAGGAAGGGCCCCCCGTTGAGGAGACGCCTCGGGCCCCCAGCCCCAACAACCACGGCAGTCCCACTGCGCCACCGAAGCAGCCCGCTCGGCGCCACTCCCTGGAAGGGGGGCCACGGGGCAGGCGCAACAAGGGCAGGGGGCAGGAACAGCATCCCCCACGCAAGCATAACTATTACCCTTACCAGCACCAGCCCTACCCGCAGCGCCGTTCGGGAGTCTTGGAGGGCCACACCCCACCCCGCATGCGCCGGCAGAGATCAGCGCCCAACCTGCAGCAGGAGAATGCCGGCGCTCAGTGATTCTGCCAAGTGGCTGCTCCTGCGCCCCCTTTTCCAGGGGGCAGTGGGGAGGAGCCCCCCCTCTTGCAGGAGGGGTGGTGGCTCAGCACAGCCCCCGCTGGGCAGGGCGCTCTCTCTGCAGTCTGCGGGGTCCTGGGGGGGGGCTGCACTGCCGTTTGCTTGCATCGGCGTAGTAGTTGTAGGGCCCAGGTGCAGCCCCTGTGTGGGGGGCAGGACGGGGGCCTGCCTGGGCGCAGCTGCAGGGATATTCTGCAGTCCCCCACCCCACCCCAGAGCAGCCTTAGGGGGGCGATGGGGGAATCCAGGGCAGCAGGGACTTGTGGAGGGGTCTTCCCTTGCTTTGTGTGGTAGGTGGGCCGGGGACGATGAACCTGTTTGATCTCCTAAATGGGGGCAAAAGGGAGGGGTCCTAAAGGGGGAGGGGCAGATGTAGTGTGAAACAAAATCCGTTCTTGGGGCGAAAAGGCAGAACTTCAAACTTTGCTGATAGCCCCCCCCCCCCCCCCCCCACGGTCCCAAGGCTGTATAGAAGCCTCATCCAATTTGGGGTGGGGGTGGGGGGGCACAAATATCCGTGTTCCTGCTGATTCTATTAATTGACGTCTCATGGGAGCCCCCCTCCCCATCGCACTCTGCCACTTTAGGGCACCCCTGACCCTCCTGCCAAGGGGGATGGAGAGGGAGGGGCCCGCTTCTGAGGGTATTATCACCCCCCAATTCGCTGCATCAGCTTTCAGGGGGAGCAGGCGTCCAAGGGCCCCCCCCATGGAAGACTCCCTAGAGGTTGTCAGTGGGGGAGGCTGTGCTGGGGGTGAGGGCAGCTACATCTGAAGCTGGGGTCTTGGTGCTTGGGGGGAGATGTGGGGCTGTGTTCTTGGGTTGGCTACCTGTTCCTGAATAATAAAGGTGGCACAACACCCTCCCTCTTGCCTTCAGCTCTTTGTGGTGGGGAGCCTGGGGGAGGCTGCCCCCTCGGAAGCACATCTCACCGTCCCCCCAGATGCCCTACAGCACATACAACCCCCCCCCCAATTCTGGAGGTGCCCTCCCAGTCAGACCCTCCTCAGCTGCCTTGTTTACGGCAACCCCACCTCTCCTAGGAATGGGGGGCAGGCAGGAGCATCTGCAAGGGGGGGCGCAGTGACCCTGTGAGGACTGTCCAGGGTGAGTCTGCCAGTCCTGGGGGAGGGGAGGGGGTGCTCAGGACCGTTGGGGGCAGCGAGCTCTCTGGGTGGAGCCCCCTGAGCAGCTGGCGGCCAATGGATCGTGGGGGTAGCAAATGCTGCAGCTTGGAGGGAGGGGGCAGCTCCCTGCTTTAGAGAAGCCGTGGTTCAGTTTTTCCAGGGGAGGGTCTCCTTGCAGCTCAAGGGGATCCCGAATGACATTTCCCAGGCCTGTAGACTAATGCCCAGGTGGCCCCAACTCAGCCCGGATCCTGGCAGCTTTCAGTACCATCCATCATGCCACCCTGATTGGTGTCCAGGTTTGGGGGTGGATGGCAAGATGATGCGATTGTTCTCCCTGCACAGGGAGGGTCTGGGGTCCGCCAAGGCCTGACTCTTCTATAACGTGGGTGGGGGGGTGCTGAGTCACCTGCCACTCGAGATCAGGGCTCATCCATGCACAGGGACCCAGATGGGGAAGGACAGGCTGCGGCTCTACCTGAGCAGGGACGGTTTCCTTTTTCTCTGCCCCAGAAAGAACAGGTGCGTAATCTGGGGGTCCTCACAGCCCCTGCTGGAAGGGCAGGTGGCAGCTGCGGCTGGGAGGCCTTCCACGGGCTGGTCCTAGACTACTGCGTTCTATCTGGGGCTGCCCTTGCTTCACTCTGCAACAGAGGGGGGTTTCAGCAGGTTCTGGCCAGTTCTGGAGAACCGGTAGCAGAAATTTTGAGTAGTTTGGAGAACCGGTAGTAAAAATTCTGACTGGCCCCACCCCCATCTATTCTCTGCCTCCCAATTCCTAGCTGATCGGGAGGAAATGGGGATTTTGCAGTAACCTTCCCCTGCCACGCCCACCAAGCCACACCCACAGAACCAGTAGTAATTTTTGAAACCCACCACTGCTCTGAAAGGTTCCTACCTCAGCATCTGCAGGAGGGGTGACTGGAGCCTCACTGCCCCCCCCCCCATTCCTCCTGGTGCATGCCAAGGGGCTGATTATCTCCCTAGATCAGGGAGTTGCCCTTTAGAAACTTTAAAACCTGTGGACTTCCCGCTCCCAGAGTTCCTGAGCCACAGAATTCCTGTGCTGGGGAATTGTGGGAGTTGAAGTCCACAGGTCTCCAAGTTGCCGTGGTGGAACGTCCTTGTTTCTAGATCCTCCTTCCCAGCAGCTGCAATGCCTAGAACCAGCTGCCTTCCTCTCTCCCCCCCCCCCGTTTTAGCCCAGAGGCTTGACAGAGGGGGGCCCTGCCCGTTCTGTCTATGAAGCGGGTGCCCTGGCAGGACCCAGGAAGATAACTCGGATGCAGGACCTGCCTTCTGGGGCATCTTTCCCCCAAGGCTTTGAACCCCCACCCCCACCCCGAATGGGGGCCATCCCGAAGGAAATCTCTCTATTCCAGAAGTTTGTTTTTCATCCATTTCCATTTTTTTGCCTTTTGCACTCCTACAGGCGGGGAGGGCATCTCTGCAGCGTGGGGAGCTGCCTGGGCTGGGTAGGGGTCTGTTTGCCAACCGGTCCGGCAGGAGAGCGCGTGCTGCACTCGGGACGTGCTCAGAGGCTAGCCCAACCTGGGGAACGGAGGGGAGGGGGAGGCAGCGTCAGAGGCGGCGGGACCCCCGCGCACCACCAGCGGGCTCGCTTCCTCCCGGCGCCTGTCTATTGGCGCTCCCCCCACCCCCAGCAAGCCCCCGTCCGCGCCTCCCGGTTGGCAGGAGCTGCCCGCCACGTCATATTCCGACGGGGGGTCCCCCCTCCGGCTCAGCGCCAGGCGTGGGGTGGGGCCTGTTTTTCGCAGGACTCGCGTTAACGGCGGCGGCCCGATAGCTGTGAGAAGCGAAGAGAGCGCTGTCCCGGGGCGGCTGGGCAGCTTCTTAGACGGCTTTTGGTTAAGGCCGGGCCAGCGGCCCAGGGCCCTCTGCACATGCTCGGCAGGGCCGCCAGCCCTGTCCCCCTCCGCCTCCGGGGCCTTTCGGGGTCGGGGCTGCTGCTGCGCCCGCCCCCGCCCGCCCCCCTCGCAGCCACGTCCCGCGGTCCCTCCCCTCGCCCGCCAGCCTGCCATAAGCGCTCCCGCTCCGGCCCCGCAACTACTCCTCCAAGCGCCCCGACGCCGCCGCCACGATGCAGCTCGTCCTCCCGGCCCTCCTGCTGCTCTGCCTGTCGCAGCTGAGCCGCGGCCAGAGCCCCTCGGCCACCCCCGCCCCCGCCACCAACCAGACCAGGTAGACCCACCTTGCGCCGCCCAGGCCCGCCTGCCAGCTCCCCGTCGAAGGGACGGGCGGGCGCTCCGAGAGGCTTTCGGCAGGCGAGCCAAGCGGAATCCCGGAGCCTCTGAACGGGGCGGCGGGGAAGGGGATCCGCTCCAGGCCGGGAGGTCAGGCTGGGCTCACCCAGGGAGGGAGGGGAGGCGTCGGGGGTCCCGCAATTTCTGCCCTCTCGCCGGCAGGCCCGTTTTCCTCTGCGGCGGCGACTACAACGCCAGCAACGGCTACCTGGCCAGCGAGGGCTTCCCCGAGCACTACCCGCACGGCCAGACCTGCACCTGGACCATCACGGTAAGGCCACCCCTCCCCGGCCCCCGTTCTCCCATCGCCTGCGGAGGGAAGGAAGGGAACGGGGAGCCCGGCTGACGCCCTCTGCCCTCCAGGTGCCCGAGGGGCAGGTGGTGATGCTCTCCTTCCGTGTCTTCGACCTGGAACCCGACCCGATCTGCCGCTACGACTACCTGGAGGTGTTCAACGGGCACGCAGCCCTGGAGTCGCAGCGCCTGGGCCGCTTCTGCGGGACCTTCCGCCCCGGGGCCATCCTGGCCACCAGCCGCCGGATGCTGCTGCGGATGGTGTCCGACGAAGGGACCGGCGGCAGAGGCTTCCTCGTCTGGTTCAGTGGCGGCCTCCCCCACGTGGACGGTAAGGGCCGCTCTCCCTGCTGGGGGGCCGCCCCGAGAGCTTCCCAAGCTGTGCTGGGGTGACCCTCCACCCCCTGGACAAGCGCTACGAAGCCAAGGAAGGCGAGGGGAGGGGGGGCAACTGGCAGGCCAAGGATGCTGGCCTTCTACAGGGACCGGGGTGCAGCCGGCCACAGGAATGCCTGCGGCTGAGTCGAGGGGGGGGTAGCTGGCTCCCCAGATGTTTCCCGGACAGGCTGGGATGGAGGACGGGAGGATCAGCGGTCCTGAGCCAGAGGTGGGTGGAGCAAAAGAGGAGCTGGCCTTTCAGTCTAGTCGGGGGGTATCCCTCAGCAAGGAGGCTCCAGCCTCCCCCCCCCCCCCCCCCCCCCCCAAGCCCCCCCCCCGTTGGGTTGGGGGGGCTGGGGGGCCCCGCCCCCCCGCCACCCCCACCCCCACCCCCCATCTTCAGCCTGGCAGCCTCCGAAGCCCTCTGAAGAGAGACCAGCACTTGGCTTGGCTTTTTTTTTTTTTTAATTGATTTATTTGCCGCCCTTCTCCGGAGACTCAGGGCGGCTTACAATGCGTTAAGCAATGTAAGGCTTTGGGGGAGGGCATGGGGGGGAGTGACGCTGCTGCTCAGTTGCTGCCAAAGTGTCTCAGGAATGGGAGGTCCGGCTGGGCTTGCAAGGCAAAAAGCGGCAGCCCAGCTAAGCCCCCCCCCCCGCCCCCTCCTCCTTCCAAGCATTCTTTGCCTCCCACGTCCAGCTGGACAAGGCTCAGCGGCTCCCCGCTTCCACTTCCGTCCTAACTGGTCATTAGCGAGAATTCTGTGGTCTCCAAAATGAATGTTTTGCTCTTTTGCTCCCCTCCCCGGCCTCTCTCTGTGCAGCACCCCCCCTCCCCTCCCCTCCCCTCGCAGCCCAGCCCCAGAGGCCCTCCCGAGACTTCAGCCAGCATTCCTGCCGGCTCTTCCCCTCTGGCCCCGCCCCGCCCCCAAAAGTAGGCTGTCCCAGAGGGTTTAGCTGAGTGCCCAGATCCCTCCTCCTGGTGTGGATTGGCAGCACCCAGGCAGGGATGCGTGCAGGATGGATTTTATCTCCTGGCTCTAGAAGAAGAGTGTCCAACTCTGGCAACTTTAAGACCTGTGAACTTCCGTTCCCAGAATCTGAGGAGTAGAAGTCCAGCGGTCTCCAAGTTGCCAAGGTTGGACGCTCCCCGTTCTAGGCGGAGAGAGCGATGATTGCATGCGGACATGTGTCTGCTGGAACCCCTAAACATCTCTGACCGTAGGAGCCCTGGGTCCGTGTGTCTTGGCATGTGTGTTTATGCTGAGCCCCTGCCCATGGTTAAACACGTGCCTGGCCCAGGTTTATAGAATGTGAGAATGTCTGTCCCGAGTTGGATCAGGCACTTGAACAGATTAACAGAGTTTGAAGGGACCTTGTAGGTCATCTAGTCCAACCCCGCTCCCCCCCCACCCAAGCAGGAGACCCTGCACCATTTCTGACAAATGGCAGTCCAATCTCTTCTTGAAAGCCTCCGGTGATGAAGCTCCCACAACTTCTGAAGGCAACAGTTTGGCTTCCTTCCTCCAGAACTACCCAAAAGATGACTATGCCTGGCCTGGGCACTTGCCTATCGCTGCAGCTTCCATGGTGCTAAATTCACTTCCATATATTCAGTTTTAAAAAAAATGGAGGTTTGACCCCAAAGGGCTGCGTTCTTGTGGGCCCTTTGAAAAGCCGAAAGTCAGGGTCTTGTCCCGACAGCTGCATTATACATGAGAAAGCCCAGAGTCGCTGCGAGTGGGAGGACAGATAAATCTAAATAAATATAATAAAAAGCAGAACTGCCAGCCTCTCCCCCCTCCCCCAAGCATCGCTTGCTGGAGAAGCCCCTGCAGAGGCCTGGGGCTCCTTCTTCTCACTAACCCCCATTTCTTGTCTTGCAGAAAACCAGTTCTGTGGGGGGAAGCTTGAGAAAAGCCAAGGGTCTCTCAAGACCCCCAACTGGCCTGAGAGTGACTATCCGCCTGGCATCAGCTGCTCCTGGCACATCATTGCCCCACAAGGCCAGGTAAAGTGGCGGGAGGCTCCCTGGCCCTCCCCTTTGCTGGGGGCAGAGAATTGCAAGCCCTCCCTCCTCATCCCAACCGAGGAGTGGGAGGGTGACCCCTTGGCTCTCCTCCGGCCTAGGTGATCGTCCTGACTTTTGGGAAGTTTGATGTGGAGTTTGACACCTATTGCCGATATGACTACGTGGCCGTCTTCAATGGCGGGGAGCAAGACGACTCGCGCCGCGTTGGCAAATTCTGTGGAGACAAGTCACCCAGGTGTGTTTCCATGCGTGACAGCAAAACAGGTGTGCCTCCGTGGCCCTACTCATTGGAGCTGGAGAGCCTCCTTTTTCGGCAGCTTAAGGGGCCTTCTCATAAATGGGTCCTCCTCGGCCCCCAAGGCTGCCCTCGCCAAAAGGACTCCGGCCACGGAGCTCAGTTCAGACTGGCTGGGCACGTGGGTGCTTCTTCCCTGCCTTCCTCCCTGCAGCTCCATCCGCTCGGATGGCAACGAGCTTCTGATCCAGTTTGTCTCAGATCTGAGCGTTACGGCCGATGGATTTTCTGCCTCGTACGTGATGAAGAGTCACGATGAGCCGGTGGATGCCACCAGGACCCAGCCCGTGATCCCGGTTTTCCCAGGCTCCAGGCCCACGCAGACCAGCAGGAAGCCTGTGCCCCCTAAGCCCAAACCTCCCAGCAAGCCTGCAGACCGACCCAAGCCGGCTCCGCGCCCCAAGCCGACAGCCCAAGCCCGTCCTGACACTGCAGGCCCCACGACTCCCACTGCAGGTAAGAGCTCTGGAGAGAGGGGTGTGTGTGTGTGTGTGTGATGCTTTGCTCCCAGCCTGGCCCATGTCCCGAGCCCAGTGCTGGTGCTGAAGCCGGCCTGGACCAGGAAACATGTGCAGAGCGCTGGCCTTCTAAGCAGTGAAACCACGCTTGGCCAAAGGGGGTCACTGGCCTTTTCTTTCCGCTCCTTTCTTGTCTCCTTCCAGGTGAGGTCACCTGCCCGCAACGCTGCAAGCGGACGGGGACCCTGCAGACCAACTTCTGCGCCAGTGATTTTGGTAAGCTTGTCTTCCCGCCTGCCTCCCATCTCCCAACCTTGCCAGCACCAGGAGCCATTGCACAGTAGCCCCCAGTAGTGGGAGGAAAGTCATCTCAGAATCAGAGGGGGAGGGGATTCCCAAAGTCCCAGATCTCTGCACGGCACCTCCTGTCCCCAGGCAGAGGCCACCCTCGCGGTCAGCCTCTCACCCTCTCCCCAATATCCCACTTGCAGTGGTCAGCGGCACCGTCCAAGCCCTCCAGCGAAGAGAGGGGACCCGGGTCACAGCCACCGTGACGCTCATCCACGCCTACAAGAAGGGGGCCCTGAGCCTCCCCCCGGAAGCAGCCGAAGCCGCCACTCTCCGCTTGGACGTGCCCTGCAGACAGTGCCCCATTCTCAAGAAAGGTGAGAGGCCGGCAGGCTACTTCTTGGGAGCCCCTTCACACTCTGCACAACTACACAACATTCACCTGTGGCAGAAGTGGCCCGGCTGCACAGATTAGTGGGAAATCTGGTAAGGGAATCCGGCCGCTGAGCTGAGTTCGGATTCTCCCCTGCCTCTGCCTCATTTCTCTCTCTCCTCCGCAGGGGCCAGCTATGTCTTCATGGGGAGGGTGGAGGCCGACGGAAGCGGGCAGCTGCCCCCCACCAGCTTCGTGGTGCCCCTCCGGCCGCAGCAGCAGCAGATTCTCACCAACATCAGCAAGCGGCCCTGCACTGGCCGAGCCAGGAGGAACCGCACCTGAGGACCCGCCCACAAGCAAAACCATGTAACCAATAAACAGGCAGGGAAGCAGTTCACGGACTCCAGGGTGGGGAATGACACCTATTGTTCTACGTTGTTCACACCCGCACCGCTGTCTTAAAGGTATTTTTACACACACGTGGAAGCCTTTGTTGTTCCGTGACGTTGTGGGGATCCCTCTTATCCCCCTCCTGCTGCCCGACATTGTAGATGCAGCCCCCACCAGGGAGATGCCCAATTGCTTAGGGGCAGGTGAGGGGCAGGAAAGGCCAGGTGGGAAAAAGGTGGTTCTGGCTGCCATCCCCACTTGCCCCCCCACCCCGCGGCTTGCTACTCCAGTTCCCAAGGGTATTTCTGAGTGCTGGGATCCTGGCTCAGGGATGGCCATCAAACTGGACCTGCTAGTGCTCCGATCTGGCTTGCAGCTTTCGGGCGGCTGCAGAAAGGCTCCATCTCCTCTGCCAGCTCGTCTCTTCCACGTCAGCAGTGCAGGCTCAGTCGCATTTCTCCTACAGCGGCCTGGATTGGAAACTGCAACCTGGTGCTTGCTTGGCCCCCAAGTCCTCAGGGCTGGAGCCCACTGCTTTGTCCCCAAAGGCTGCTGCCCCCTGTTCTTTTGGCAGGAGGCCTCCCCCAGCTGCCCCTCCTGACCCCCAAGAGCAGCTCCCCAAAAAGTTTTCTCCTTGGCTGCGGTTCCTGGGTGGGGTGGGGGGCTCAGTGGGGCTGGGCTGCAGGAGGAGGGTCGGAGGCTCAGGGAGGGGAGGGAGCCTGGGCTTCTCCCTCTGGCTTTCAGGTCCCCTGGCAGCTGCTCTCTGCCCTCGGCTGGTGGCAAAGTGGGGCAGGTGATAAAGGGCTCCTCCCAGAGTTCTGCCGACAGGCAAGACAAGGACCCCTCCTGCTGTCTCTGCCCCAAAGGCCTGGGCCAGGGACAGCAAGCGGGGAGTCTGCCTGCTTCCCCTCCTTCCTTCCCTCCCCAAAGGGCCCGAGGCTCGGAGAGCAGGGCCTGAGCGCCCCCTTGTGGCGTATGTGGGGGCTGGTGAGAGCAGAGAGACTCTGGCCTTTCCCTGCTGTCCTGAAGTCACCCGGCCAGGCCCGCAGCCAGGGAGAGCGATGGCCCAGCTGTCCTTCGGGTGGGGGTGGTGACGGGAGGGGGGCAGGGCTGGGGGTGCTTTCTAAAAACAGACGGCACTGGAAGGTCCTGGGCGCTCACCTTGGGGCAGAGAAAACTCGGCTTCCCGTCAGCAACAGCAGCATTTCATTTTAATTTTAATATTTCAATGTTGGGGCTCTGCTGGACTCTGCAATGACTCCGGGCAGTCTATAGAAAAATAAAATTAAAATTTTGGAAGAAGAGGGAGACGACCAGAAGTCCAGCCCATTGCAGAAAGAAACACAAGGAGGGGGGCTTCTACCCAACAGCTGGGGGAAAAAGCAGATCCCCAGGACACTGTGCAAAATCAGCAGGGTGGGAGGGGGCAGAATGGACCTGGGGGAGGGTCTCATTCTGGAGGGCAAAGGCCATCCCTGGGAAGACCCTCTTCCTGGGTCCGGTAAAATGACACGGCTTAAGGGGGGGAGGGGCAGCATTCCCCTCTGGCTGACTTCACTGGGAGGGCTAAAAATAGTCCCAGCCTTCTAGGGGATCACCGGCCCTCCCTTTGCACCCCGGAGCCAACGGCGCTGCCCCCCAGCCCCCTCCGCTTTGGGCCGCCCTGCCCCCCTTCCTGCCCATCTGAAAGCCCCAGCCGCCTTTTCCTCCAGAGCCCTTTGGGAGCCCCACCTCCATCCCAGGAAAGGGGGACTGAACCCGGGGCTGCCCTGCGCGCTCCTTCTCTCCGCACCCCCTTTTTAACCCCGTAGAACTGGCTGAGCTCCGGCCTCGGAGGCTCCCTGCGGGCCTCGCCGCGGAGAGGAAAGGCGGGGGAGGGGGCGCCTTACACGGGAGGAAACCGTCCGGGTGGGGGAAGCGCGGAGCTCGGAGCCATGGGGGGGGGGGGGGGGAGGTTGCTGCCCTTCACTCCGCCGCCGCGCAGTTTCCAGCGGGCCCTGGCGACGGTTGGCGGCCCGGAGGTGTCCCGAGGAGCCGTTTCAGGCCGGGGGCCGCCGGAGCTTCCACCTAGGGAGCCTGGAAGGAGCCCCCCCACCTTCAGTGCCCGCAACCGCCCAGCGGCAGGGAGGGCGGAGCGGCCGAGGGAGCCCGCCCAGCCCCGCATCCTCCCCAGTCCCCCGGGGAAGCGGCACCTGCTCGCCCCGCTCGGCTTCGGCGCAGAGCTCAAGCGGCCGCCCCTGCCGCCAAATCGGCCGCGACCACCAGCCGGCTGCCCGGGCCCTCCCCGCGGTCGGATGGGCTCGGCGGAGCGCCCGTGGCTCCCGCAGGCAAGCGGCGCGGCTCTTCCCCGGCCCACACCGGCCCCGTTTTCAGCGCCCTCCCCGCCCGTCCCGCGGCGGCAGACAGCGAGCTTCTCCCCGGGGCGGCAACCGGCTCTGCCCGAAGGAGCGCCAGGCGGCCGATGCCCCTCCGAGCCCCCGCGGGAGCCGCTCCCGGCGGCCCCGCGGCAGAGGCGGAGGAGCAGAGCGGGGCCCTGCACGCGGCGCTCCGGGGCCTGGATGGGCTGCCGGGGGCCCCTCCTGCGCTCCAGCGAGGTTCCGCCCGGCGTGGCCGAGCGCTTCATCCTGAGCGGCTACCGCTGCCCCGGCTCCTCGGCTGCCCAGTGCCTCCTCTCCGCCTTCCGGCCCACCAACGAGACGGGCAACTTCTGGACCCACTTCGTGGCCCTCTTGGTCTTCGCCTTCTGCTTCCTGGAGCCCTTCCGGGCCCCCGGAGGACCCCTCCCCCCGGGGCCCCTGGAGCCTTTCTACTACCCGCTCTGGAGCTACTGCCTGGGCGTCTGCGGCCTCCTGGCGGCCAGCAGCATGGCGCACCTCTTCAACGCCATGTCGCTGCCCGTCCGGGAGATCTGCTTCTACATCGACTACGGTACCATCAGCGCCTACACGGTGGGCGCCTCCTTGGCCTACTTCTACTACGTCAGTCCACCCGCAGCACCGGAGCCCGCCAATCCCTCCTCGGGCTACCCAGAGGGTGCCAGCCAGCTGTGCGCCGTGGCCGGCCATGCGGGCACCTGGTTTGAGACCCTGTATGTGCCCGCTTCTTGCCTGGTGGCCCTCTTCTGCACCCTGGCCTGCTGCAGCACCCGCCGCCGGTGCCCCCGCCACCGGTACCTGCTCCGCACGCTCATCTTCCTGCTGCCCTTCGTGGTGGTCTCCATGCCAGTCTTCCAGAAGCTCTGGGGCCAGGGGGGCAGCCCGGGGACCGGCCACCTCTTCCTGCGCCACTGCCTCTGGCTGCTGGCCTCCGGGCTCTTCAACGTCAGCAAGGCCCCCGAGCGCTTCAGCCCCGGGAAGTTCGACATCTGGGGCCACAGCCACCAGTGGTTCCACTGCTGCTCCTTCATGAGCATCCTGGATGAGCTGCATATGATCCGGGGGGAGATGGAGCTGCTGGCGGAAGGGCCCCCCCTACTGTCCAGAGCCCCCACCTTCCTCTCCACCTTCGGGGTGATGCTGCTGGCACTGGCGCTGCTTGCCACTATTGTCGCCTGGTTCGGGGTTCGGGCACATGGCAGCCACTACCGAGACCAGAGCAAAGCCCAGAAGGGGGACTGAGGAGGCAGACTCCCCGCCAGCTGCCATCGGGGCTCCCGCCATGTAAAACCTGAACCGAGAGGAGTTTCCTTTGGAACTCAAGCCCATGAAATGAAGAGAGGGGCAGAGTCCCCCCACTCCAAGAGGGGCAGAGCCAAGCAAGCAGGGCTGACCCAGGACTGCAGGAGGAGGAACAGGTGCGGCTTGCAAGAGGAAGGGCTGGGAGGACCATTTGAGCCCGTCCCCCCTTTCCCTTCTCAGCTGGCATGGCAGGGGATCTCCCAAAATATATGTGTGCAAACCGAGTGGCTCTCTTTCATGCGCAGAATGGGGACATTGCTTAGGTTTTTTTCAGCGGGAGGGGGGAGTAAAAACTGCCGTGGAAACCTCAGCTGCCTTTTGCTTCTCCTGTGGCTTTTTCCAAAGGGCGGATGCTCCAGGATGGCCGTGGCTCCTCCCGGAAGGAGATCCTTCGCCTCCTTCAGCCCTCAAGGCTACGGAGGTCGCTGGGGGGCTCATAACAGCTGCTGGGAGGTGTAGGGGGGGGGCATGTGCAGAGAATCAGGCTCCAGGCTGAGATTCTGATGGGAGAGAAGGGTCCCCCGACCTTCCTGGTGGGAGACCCCCTTGTGGGTAGGGAACCGAGCCCCTTCTCTCCTGTCCCAGGGTGGCCCTGCTTTCTGGCCAGGGTGGGCTTGAGTTGCCCAAATCTGCTCAGAGGGGTTTCAGCATTTGGGGCTGAAGCAATTTATTTAGCTCCGAAATTGGTTCCTTCCTTACACGCTGCTCCTGGCTGCCTCCTCCCAGGGGTGGGGGTGAGGACAGATGGGGGGCACCTTTTATGCAGCATCAGGTGGGCGAACCAATTGTACACAGCTGGCCTGCGGAGAAGCAGCTGCAGCTCTGTGGGGCTGGGGTCTCCCTCGGGCAGAGCTCTACCCCTGCAAGGGCGCCTGGAAGGGCTCCCACCCCCGGAAGAGGAGAGTGGGTCAAGAGCTACAACAATGGGGTGTCTCTGGCCGAATCCTGCCTTTTGTTCAGGCCAGGTCCGACCCTACTTAAGCTTTTTCGGACATCCCAGGGGGCTGCTCCTCACAGAGGGAGCTGCTCCATCATGGCATTGCCCCTCAAATTACCATCCTGTCCTGGGGAGGCCTGGGCACCCGCCTAATGGCAATTGCCACCCTTGGGCCTCTGCTGCTCCCAGGTTTGGCACGGCCACCACAGAAAGATTGCCCGAAGACCCTGGGGGGACCTAGCCAGCTGTGCCCGGCTTCTTCCAGGGGCAGATGGAGAGCTTTGCCTTCCAGGGGTCAGCTCTTCCCCTGGGCACTGCCTGCCACAGACCGGCCCCAGGGACCGTGGAGGAAGCGGGGGGTTGTGCATGCGCTCCGGGCTGCTGAACTGACCCCGTGGAACCCTTCCGCTCCAGCCAAAAGCTTCCGATGGAGGCTGGTGTGTAGTTGCGCCCTCGTGGTTAATCCGCTTGTTCCAGCTCTTTCGAAAGGTGACAATAGTTCTTGTTCCATCGGTTTTTTTCTTTACATTTGGTCCCCAAGGACGCGAAAGACGTTCAACCAAAAAGCATCCTCCTTTTTCCCCCCACCGCCCCCCCCCCCCGAAGCCCCGGTCCAGTCACTCGCCCCCCCCAACTCCTGCCGGGGTCAGCAGAGGCTGCATTGGTCTGTGCTTGTGCTTTATTTATTCCCAATTGTTCAGTGCGAAGTCTTCTCTATCTGTCAATCATGATCCATGATGCGTATAAGGGAAGGATATCGGGGGTGGGGGTGGGGAAAGGGGCCAGAGGGAGCCGTGGTCCATGAGCTAGCTGGACGGGGGGGCTTCCCGCAGTTCGGCCGCCCTCTGGATCATGTCCAGAGCCTCCCAGAAGAAGTCCTTCTGGAAGGTCATGAGGGGCATGCTGCCCACCGCCTCCTTCATTTTGGCCATGCGCCCCTCCAGCGTTGGGCACTTGTGCAGCTGGCTGAGGTACTCTTCGCAGGTGCGAGCGGCCAGAGCCTCCGAGTCGCCGGGGGCCACAGCGGCCTTGCTGGCCGGCAACTCGCGGTAGGCAGGCGCCTCCTCGATGTCGTGGCTGGATAGCATGTAGAGGCATTCCCGGGTGGAGCAGATACGGCGGGCACAGGGCGGCACCTGCACGGGCATAGGGGAAGGGCGATTAAGAAGGCCCCGAGAAAGAGGCAGCCGGTACTCCGAAAGCAAGGAGGGAAGGGCGGTGGGCAATGCCTCCAGGTACCCCGGCCTGTTCCCCCCTCCATGCTCTCCCAGCCCCCCTCACCTTGATCTGCAGCCGGACAAAGGAGGCGCTGCCCTTCGGCCATCCTGGCAGGCGCCCCCCTGCGCCACAGCCACAGCCCATCAGGTCCTTGCTGAAGTCCCCGCTCTGGCTCAGCACCAGTGTGTGGTTCAGCCCACACCACAGGTCGAGGGGCCATTTCAGGTAGTGCACCTGCGTGGGGGCAGCGACAGGGCCTCTGAGCAGGGCTGGGGGCTCTGCTCACACCCACACCCACACACTGCCCCCCCTCCATGAAACGCATTTCCCACTCCAGGCAGAAATTTGGCCCAAGATTTAAGGATTCCTTCTCCAGTTGTTATCCTGGGAAGCTCTGACATCGCACAGCCAGTTCCAGTCTGCTGGGGGAGGGGAAGGGGGGGCTGTTGGCCAGACAAATGTAGGGACACCCCAAACCCCGCAAGAGCCCGTGAGGGACAGAAGCACGGTGGGGGTGGGGGCGTCAGAAGCAGCTTGGCTTGCAGACTGAAAGCTCGGTGTGAGGGAGACTCCTGGGAAAACGGGCCGGGGGGGGGCTGAAACTGTACCTGGGCAGGCTCCCCGCGGTCTATCTTGTCCCCCGTACCCAGCTGACCGTAGCGGTTATTTCCCTGCATGAAAATCCGTCCAAATTCATCCACCAGGCCCAGGTGGTTGTAACCCAGGGCGCAGCTGAGCACCTGTGGAGGGAGGCAGAGGGGCTGAGACAGCCTGAGCCGGACTTGGGGGGCAAGAGAGGCAGCCTTCAGGGGGCGGGAGGGAAGGATGGATAGGTCTCTGGAGGCCGCCAGGGTGGAAATATAGAAGGGTGCCTCTGAGCATGTGCAACATTCTCTCCCTGGAGCTGCAAGTAGGGATGGGAGTGGCCAAATTAATTTTCAGGCCACATCCTTAGAAGTGGAAGTCCGAGCTTAACTCTCCAGACTCCCCTTGGGAATTGTTGCCTTAGGAACCTGGGTGAAAGCAATGGTGGGGAACCCCCACCCCGACCCAGAAAGGAGAGAGCAATGGGGCTCCACAGGGGAGGGAGGAAACGGGAGGGGGAGGGAGGGGGCTGGGGGGCCTGTTGGTGAGGAGGAGTAAGCCTGGGCCCTTTCCTTGCTTCCTGCCCACCATCTCATCCAGGATCTGCCCATCTCAATACCACAAGTCCTTCTGCAGGTCAGCCAAACTCTTCCCAAGGTCCCACCTGTGTGTTACCTTAGCTGGGAGAGAAAGGGCCAGGGGCATCTGCTGATCAAGAGGGTCGAAGGCATGCAGGGTGCCAAAGAGGTCACGGTAAACCCCAGGGGAGTGGACCTCGAAGTAGACGGTGCCTTCGCCTGTGATGGGGAGACCACAGTTGGCTTCAAGCCAGCTCCAGAGAGAAGCAGAGTCCAGCCGACCTCAGGTGGGGGCAGAAGGGCTCTTTCCCCTCCATCTGGCCCCGATTCTCTGGATGGGCCTTGACTGGAAGCTGCTCTCCCTTCCCCTTCTCTGCCTCCACTGCTTGCTGCCAAGCCCACCCGTCTCCCCCACTTGGTTTCCAGCCCTATTGCTTCGTGCTTCAATTGCCCGGGTCCTGACCGCCCCCCCCCGCCTTTCTCTCAAAGGCTGCCATGCCAGGTCCACGCCGGCCTCTTCTCATCTTCAACCTCCTTCTATAGATCGGGGGGCCCTCTGGTCGCTCTCTGTTGCACCCGGATGCTGTACAGCCCCTAGATTCCTCTTAAGGCTCCCATTTATTTCTTTTTAAAAGACCCCAATATGGCCTCCCGTCTCATAGAACCATGCTAGGCAGCTCAAGACAATCAAAAAGCAGATTAAATATCTGTCTGTCTGTCCCTCTTCCTTCCAGCCAGGCCCCACCGGAGCCCCCCGACGGGGAGGCTTTGGGCAGGAGGTGCCCTCTTGGCCTTACCTGTGAGGTAGACGGCGCTGCTCTGGTTGGAGTGCATGTGGCGGACGGAGATGTGGGGGAGGCACTTGGAGACTTTGCGAAGGGCCAGCTGCACCGTGTAGGAGCGGGGCTGGTCCAGCTGCGTCTCGTTCACCACCAAGCTGTAGATTTTGCCTTCCTCTGCGAAGAGAAAAATTCCACCCTGGCAGGTGATGGCAGGGAAGAATATTTTGCTGCATCCATACAAGCCAAAGGGGGAGTCCTGCCTCGGGCATGAAAGCTTGGGCCAGTCCCAAAGGCTCGGGTGACAAACCGGCTGGCTGGTTCCTTTCACGGCCAAACGGGTCAATGCTCAAGTACACGGACTCTGCGCTTGTGGGGAAACCCACGCAGGGCCCTGCAAAAGCAGCAGGCTCTGTCCCCACCTGCACCCCCACCCCCACCCCCGTGGCTGAATGCTGGGAAGGGCCCCCAAAGGAGGGTTTGCGCCCCCCCCCGTGGCTCCCGTGCCCGCTCTCCTCGCTCTCTCACCTGTCAGGAGCAGGAGGGACCTTTCGGTCTCTTGCCCCACCAGCACAATCTGCCTGAACTTCATGGAGAAATGGAAGGTCATCTTGAACACCCGCTGCCCACTGGATTGCAGGTACACCTCCACGCAGTCACAGAGGCGGCTGCTGGGGGCCGGGCCAGAGCCCTCGCTGCGCCCCAAGGCAGGGCTGGGCGGCTGCTCCCGGGTGGCCAGCACGTACAGGTACTTGCGGTAGACGGTGTCATTCCGGGGGTCTGTGGCAAACTGCAAGGCAGAGGCAGGAGGAGGCACCCAGCATCAGGAGGCTGCAGCGAATCCTCGGGGGTGGAAACGGAAGAGGTTTCCTATGCCCCTCTCCCCCCCCCCACTTGCTCCTCTTGGAACAGGTATTCCAGTAGGGCTCAAGGAGTCTGCAGTTACAGGAAGTGCTGCAGAGAAGGCCACCAAGAGTCCTCTGGCACGCGAGGAGCCCCCACTGTAGTCCTCCAGAGGGGGGGGGGTGCTCTTTGTTACTCCTCAGAGGGGAGGAGCCAGAGAGCGGCTCCTCCGGCCTCACTTCCCTCTCCCATCCCAGCCCTTTGCGAAAAGTTGCTGCCCTCAGTCACCCCCTCGGGTGGCATGGACTGTGGCAGGAAGGGGACGGAGGGCAGAGGGGGGGCAGCCACCACCATTTCTGCATCGTTATTCCGAACACATCCTCATGTCTGGTCTCCAGGGGATCCAGCCAACAAGAGCCTGGCAAGGCCTGCGTGGGTGCTCTTTTAAGGGGGCATGCAGCAAATCTGTGGCTGAGTTTCTCACAAAGGGCAGCTCCTTTTCTGTTTTAAGGGCCCCAGACATTGAGACTCTGTGCAAACAAGGTGCAACACCGGGCTGGGTTTAGAAACCCTGGCACGAAAGCATGACGCTTTATGGAGAGACTCTGTGTGGTGAAAAGGACCCGAGAGGAAGGAGGCTTGGGAGTCATGGCCAGAAGACTGAAAGCCCTCAGCTTGGGGAGCCCCCTTGCAAGAAAACGGGGGTCCGTGGCCGCTTTCTGCATTAGCCACAAGTTGCTGTGGAAAGCGAGAGGCCACAGAACGAGCCTCCTCTCGCCTGCCGTAGGGCAGAAAGGAGAGGGGAGAGTTGGCTGGCAGTGACATTTCCCTCTTTTCTGCCCATGATTTTGTAGTTCTCGGTTCAGGAGAAACCAAGAAACCATCAGGGAGGCAGGAGGGACTGGGCACAAAACAGAAGAAGGGGATACCGGGTTTCAAAAGAGCAGCTTGGTTCCCTCCCACCAGCGCTGTGTTTCCCCTGCACCCGGTTTGCCAAGACACCCGCCCGCAGGACTTGGCTCCCCTCTCCTCTTCCGCCGCAGAGGCACGTACGTCCTTAGCACTGCGGCACAGCACCATGTAGCGGCAGGCCCGGCGCCACTGGATGTGGCCCATGGTGGAGGAGACCAGGGCATTCTTGAGGAAGAAGAGCGTGCCGTTGTAGTCCAAGATGAAGATGTGGTCCTTGGTGGGCAAGAACTTCCGGTAGCCGTGCGAGAGAAGGGGGGCCACTGTCTTGCTGACGAAATGCCGCCGGCCGCTGAACATCTGGAAGTACAAGCCCTTGGTGTCTGTGGGACAGAGAGGCCCGAGGGCAGGGAAATTGGGTCTGTCTAGAGGAGCCGACTGGGCAAGAGCTCTCCCTTCCAGGTGGGGCCTGGGGATGAGACCATCGCAGCCTTGGTCCACTTCCCTCGTCCATCGGAGGACACCGGCTCTTGCTCCTCCCTCCTTCCCTTCCCTTCCCTCCGCTTCACACCACGCTATACTGACAGTTGAGGATGGCTGATCTCTTCCACGGCCGGCTGCCACCCGAATTCTCATCCCGCAGCCGAGGGGAAAGACGGCGGCAGATCCGCTGCCAGACCCCCTCACTGTCGCAAACTTCATAGAAATACCGGCAGGTCTGGCCGAGAGCCACCAGGTCCCTCACTGGCAGGAAGGAGATGATGTAGTACAACTGGAAGAGGAGCGGGAGCCAGTCAGGACGCGTCCCCGGCCTTCCTCAGGCACAGCTGATATATTGCCCCTCTGTGCCCCCTTCTCTTCTCCTGCCCAAGGCTCACCCACCAGCTCGGGAGGGAAGAGCTGGATAGAGGCGGATTCTCCCCTGGTCTTCTTGTCTTCCGTGGCCTCCGTGGATGAGCTGCGCCGCTTCTTCTTGGGCTGCTGTAGGCAGAAGAGAGGAGCCAAGAGCCCCCTTATCCTGGATCTCCCAGTGCTTCATCTCTCAAGGGGTCTGGAGGGCCCTTAGCAGCTGCTCGGGAGTCAGCTCAGTGGGCAAAGATCTTCCCTGGCAGGTAGTGACCTGGTGGACTTATGCCTGACGTACCATCGTGAAAAGCCAAAGAAGAAATAAGAAGCATCCGCCTCACTCCTGCTACTTCTAAAACTCCAAGACAAGGCGCCCAATCTTTGACCTCGCAGAAACCTGAGATTCCCCGGATTCCTTTATGGAAGCAGCCATGATCAATTAAACCCAGAGGACCCTGGCTTCTTGGGCAGAGAAAGGGGAGGGGAACGCAACGTTCTGGGTGCGGTTCCTACAATGGGCACCAGGTGGCAGGACTGACCAGGTAAAGAGGGAGCTCCTAATTTCGGAGGAAACAGTCCTTTACATGTCTGAAAAGTGACTCAACTTCATTATAGCTGATTCATAAGACTTTTTTTGCATGCTTAGGACAAGTTTACCTTTTTTTTTTGCAGTTGCTCTGTTGTACTGTTACTTGGATCTAAAAACATTTTGAAATAAGGTCAGTCGAATTTGCCAAACTCCACACGAGTCTGCTTTTCAAGATTTTTTTTTTGCAAAAGATTGTGAGTCACAGGTCTGACTAACTTGTTCTGATTAAAGGTAACGTTTGCAATAAAAGTCCATCGCTATGGAATTCTCCAGCTTTAAAAGAAGGTGCGTAAGGCTTGTAAATTAATTTGCATATGCAAACGAGGAAGGGGAGAAGTGGAAATTTTGCACGCCAAGCTCACAGAGAAAGCCCCTCCCTCATTCAGCAACTTCCTGCCACCCTCCCTTCCCCCCCCAGCACTTCCTCATAGTTTTCCTCGTCCTCCACGCCCTGCGGTCCAAATGCTCACTCCAAGCGGCTCTTCAGTGCTAGAGATGAGGGAGAAGCGCTGGGGCTTTCTCCTCCTGAATTTTCGGGCGATGCGCCTGTCGCTCATGTCTGCCCACCCAGCCGTAGACTCTGCGGTGGGTGTGAGCTCTCAGACCCACCCTTGCTGCTGAGCCCAGCATGGCCAAGGCTTTTGAAGGCCTCTGCCCACCAAGCCTGTCACCCTGGGGGACATAGCCCTATGTGATAATGGCCGTCTTGATGGCTTCACAGAGACTGGGTTTCCCCTGGTAACTGGGGCACTGTGACATCAGCACCCATCTGGGGCATGCTTTGTGAGCTGGACACGAGAGATCGATCTAGCCTTCGGGTCAAAGATTAGCCTGAGGGGCAGGGATCCCACAAACGGTGGCTCTGGCTCTCCCTGTGCTGAGAGTTTCTTTCAAATTGCTGCATAAGACACATTAAGGGGCAGGAACCAGAAGCCAGCCTTCCTCTCCTTGAAATCATTGTGAGTTTTCCTGTTAAGAACTCCTGGCCAAGCTCTTTCCAGCCTGCATTTTGGGGTTGTTGCGACTGATAAAAAGGAATTTCCTTTGGGGTTTTTTTCTTCATTGCAGCCTGTGCTACTTGCAGTCATTGGGAGGGCTTAGCTTAATTCCTGTAAATTCTTATGAGGTCATTTTGGGAGGGGGGGGTAGAGGGAATTAAGTGATTAGGAAGGTTATTTTTTAAAGCTTCCCAAATGTATTGAAGAGACTGTGGAAATATTTGCATTTACCAAAGCAATACTCAAAGGTGATCAGAAAGAACAGTTGGCTCTTCCCAAACCCCTTGCTGAGTTCAGATGAAAAGCTTCGTCCACCCACTGGATTCCCTGCCTTGGCAGAGAACTCAGGAATTCTAGAGCCTGCTGGGGTTCCAGTCAGAATCTTATTCCTGAGAACATGAAGTGCCCGGGCTCTGAGCCATTTGGGTTCTTTCCACCTTCTTGCCTGATCCCAGGCCCCATCCCCTCACCACCACCAGCTGGCACTCTGGGCTTCAACCCTCAGCTACAAATATTCTCCTTTATTGGCACTCTGGGTTTTCTTTTCCATGGTCTTACTTGCAAACGCTTTGCTGCAATCCCCTGAGTCCGACATGGGCTGGAGCTTTCCCTTCAGTGGGCATGGGAAACCTGAGAATTAGAACATGAGGAAACATAGTGGAGTGGAAAAGAAAAGCACAAGACTTACATGCAGTTGTCAGATTAAAACCAAGTTAGCTGACAGAAGCCAGCAGGAATCTGGTAGCTACTTTCCAGGCTGACAAATCCATGGGAAACCCTAAGCTTTTGTGATCTGTGGCTCACTTCATCAGATGTATTATACTGTGGGTACAAGTCTCAGTAGTTGTGAGCAATTCAATTAGTAATCACACTACAATTTCAACTGTATAGCAGAGTTGTTTCCCTATCCGAACAGCCACCCATTCCCCACCCTCCCCCCAGCCACCATGAACCCGGTTCATAAACTCCCGGGTTTTCCTCCTCTATTCTCAATTGACACGAATGCAATGTTGCAGTGCTGCGGCCGTGACAGATGCGAGAGCCTGGCTGTGTGGGTGGCACAGCAGAAGGCATTCTCCTCTGAGCCAGCAAGCGGGCACGGACTGAACCTCCAGAGACCTGGGCCTTTTTTGGCTGCACGAGGAAGAATGGTGTGTTGGACACCAACAGGATTCACTGATCAAGGGTAACCCCGTGGCACACACCACCATGCTACTTAGTTTCCCCCAAGAGGTTTCTCCTACTTCCTGATGTACAGGTAGTCTTCGACTTAACAACCATTCGTTTAGTGACCGTTCAAAGCTACGGTATGACTGCACTAAAGAAACGGATTTATGACCGTTTTTCACCTGACCATTGCAACCTCCCTGTGGCCACTTAATCAAAATCTGGACGCCGGGCAACTATGTCCCGTGGTCCCCTTTTGCAATTTTCTGCCACAAACCAAGTCAATGGAGAAGCCAAGTTCACTAAACAACCATGTGACTAAATTAACGACTGCGGCAATTCACTTAACAACTGTGGGAAGGTTGTAAAAAATGGGGCAAAACTCACTTAACGACTGTCTTGCTTAGCAATGGAAACGGCGGCTTCCATTTCGGTCGTAAGTCAAGGAATACCTATGTTAGATGTGACATCCAGCATTTCCCGCTACTGTTGAGAGGAAATTATAGAATAAAGCAGCAGGCAGGCGCTCCGTTTAGGAGGGGAAGCTGAGACACCCCCCCCCTGGCTAAGCCGAGAATAAAGGCAACCCCTGTCCCTTGAGAGAATGCCCCCCCCCACGGATAGGGGTGTCCGGAGGGGGGGGCTCCTCCTCCTCAGGGCATCCTGGTCAGCCCAGAGGCCGGTTGCAGCCGGTGGGGTGCAGGAAGGGCAGAGCCCTTGGCTGCCCACCTTGCAGGTCTGGGCCTGGGAAGCCTGCCTGTGGGGCTGCCGGCCACCTTCTATGGAGACCCCAGGGCGGCTCCATCGGCCCCTGCGGGTCAAGGCCCTTCCGGGGACCTGGCAGGCAGAGCAATAGCTGGGCCCTCTTGGCTTTTGAAGAGCGGTGGGCCTCAACTCCCAGAACCCCCCGGGGCCCTCTTAAAAGGCCCAGGGTAGTTAACAGTAGGAAGGGGCCTTGGAGGCCATCTAGTCCTCCCCCCTGCCCCCCCCACGTGACGTTTCAGACAAAACGGAGCCTTCACCATTCTTGGGGTTCGTGTGGAGAGGCTGCCCGGGGGAGAGCTTGGCCCGGCGGTCGCCTCTCCTAGGAGCCCGGGGACCGAGTTCTAATCCTGACAGGGCTGGAAGGCGGCTGGGCCTCTCTTCGTCCCAGGGTTGGTTGTTGGGGGGGGGGAAACAGAGGATGGGGGAGTGTTAGGCTTGTTCTGGGTTATTTATAACGGTGGGCTTGGCAAAAAAAAACCCAACACTCTAAAAATCATTTTTAGAAGGTCGAGAGCCGTTCAAGTTTCCCCTCCGGCTGCGACCCGCGCAGGAGAAGCGCTCCTCAAGTCATTGGCGAACCTGCGGAGGCTCCCGGGGGCTTTTCAGCAGTTTTGGCTGCAGCCACGGTGCATCTACGGCTATCCATTAGGCATCCGGCCGAGGCACTCTGCTTATGCCCCGGGGACCCCGTGCCCGCGCCTATTTCTCTCCGTTTCCCGAGGCCGCGCCTTTCCTCAGGCTTGGGCCCGCCTCCCCTGAGGCGCCTTTTGTCCCGATTGGTCGACAAGCTCCACTGAGAGGCCGTGTGGCCGGTGACTGGCTGCCGTGGCTGCCATTCTCCCCTATCGAGGCTGGTCGCTCGGCTTTCAACCGCTTGCCGCCAGGAGCCGAGCGCCTGTTGATTGGCAGCTCAGCCATCCGTCAGAGGGAGGCCTGCCTTCTCTCGATTCTACGCGCCGTGATACGCCCGTTGTCGACTCGCCAGCTAAATCAATCGTTTCCCTACCTGCCTCCTTGAATGTGATAGGGCGACAGAGGCACGTGCGCAGCAGTTTCACGTGTCGGTCAGGCAAATTGGATCCGGAGGAATCTGCCTCCCTCGTAAGCGATTGGTTGGACCGAGACGCTTTCGCACAGGTCCCAGTTCCCTTCCATCCCGGGCATTCGATTGGAGCAAAAGGAGGAAGAGTCAGGAAGCTTTTAAACGGGATTGGCTGTCGGGCGTGGAACGTCTCGGCCAGGGCCCTTCTAATTGGCCGCTTTCCGCATGTCCGGCCTCTCATAGGCGAACGCTATCCTTCTGGCTCCGCCCCCTTTGGCTGGGGTCTCGCTGTCTCTGCCTCCCTATTCTCATTCGGCTCCCGACGGCCGCAGCGGAAACAGCGGAGCCTACGGGATGGCGGCGGGCGAGGGCGGGGCCGACTCGCTGCCCCCGCCCTCCCCCTCCTTGCCCGGGCCCCTCCCGGGCCCCGAGCGCGCCTTGGAGGAAGCGGTGGCCTCGGGCAGCCTGAGCCTGGCGGGACGGCGGCTGAGGCACTTCCCCGGAGGAGCCGCTCGGCGCTGGGACCTCAGCGACACCACGCAAGCGGGTGAGGTGCTCGGCCACGCCCCCTCCCGGCCACGCGCCGCCGCGCCGCCGCCTCCAAAGCCCCCTACCCCTCCTTAGTTCTCTGGCCCCGCCCCCAGCGGATCTCTTCTGCCCGCAGGCCCCGCCCTCCCCGTTATACTTTGTGTTTCGGACACGCCCCCTGCTGTGCCCCGCCCCTCCGAAGAAGCGGCTGGGACTTTTCTGCGGCTACCGGCCGCTTCCCCGCCCCCCTGGACTCCAGTGCCCATCATCCGCGCCGCCTGGGATGATGGGGGTTGTAGCTTAAGCACCGGGAGGCCCTGTGGGGAAGCCTCAGTGCCTTTAACCTCCCGCCAGTCTCTCCTGGGAGCTGGAACGGAGGGCAGCGGGCAGGGGCTCCTCTGCCAGGTGGGTGACAGCCGGCGTGCTAGAGTGATCTTCTGTGGGCTCACCCTCTGCTTTGCATGCAGTCCCTGCTGACTGACACAGTTCTGACCACCGGGGTCCGGCTGCGGCTTCCCCCCTCCCCATGTGCCTGTGCAGGTTGCTTCCTTAGAGAGGCAGGGATGGAGGGCAAGGAGGGACCGGCTTCTCACTGGGGGGAAGTGACTCACCCGAGGCTGGCAGGGCAGCGGCTTCTTCCTGCAGCCACTGGGCCTGCTGGCTCCTGGAATTGCGCGCTTGGCTTGGATGGGGGCCGCATGGTGAGAGACGGAGGCTGGTGGCAGGGCATCCCCATCGCCTCAGCGGTCAGTGGGAGACTCCTAGCCAGTCGGGAGGAATGGCGCCCACCCCCCACCCCTCCCGCAGAGTCTGGATCACTCTTTGAACTTGACCCCTTTGTAAGCCAGGAATTACTGGGGTTGCCGGGGAGGCAGCCTGGATGGTTTTCAGAGGCCGAGTGCCAGAGATGACCAGCGGGAGACCCTGGGCGCACTTGGGGCCTAGGCCGGGAGGGGGGCAGTGGGTTGCTTGTGGCTGCCCTGACCTACTACCACCGGGCAGCCCCCACCCCTCCCTGAGCAGCTGGATTGCAATGGGGGCTAACCATAATTGCTACCCCCCTTTGGGTGCCTCTGACAGCCATGCAGATGTCCCAAACCAAGCAGGGCCCGACGAGGGTCTGATTGCCTTGGCTGCACTCAGATCTCTCCCAAAGAGAGATCTCACCCTGTTGCCTGTGGGCTTGCTAGTGTCCTCTCCGCCCCCCCCGTGCAGGATCTGTTAGATCAGCCTGCCCAGGTGCCCGATGGGTTCTTTTCATCCTGGACACAGGGCTGAGGTGGCATTGATCCCACTGCTGGGGGAGGCTTTCCATTCCATTGTTCCTCGTACCAGGTCATTGGGGGGGGGGAGCATGGTGCCACTGTGGTTTTCCTTCTTTTTCTGCAGCCGGTCTTCAGGGGGAGGGGTTGAGCCCAAAGCCCCTGATTTGTGGTGTGCGGCTGGCTTGAGGCTCTGGTTTGACAGGTACAGGAGGTCCCTGGGGAAGGGGGGGTCACTGGTCAGTCTGGGCTCAGGTATCTCATCTCTGCAAGTAGGCGAATGAATCTCCTCTGGCCAACCATGCAGGGCCACCCAGTTCTGCTCCGGACTGTTGGGTCTGAATGGGACCTGAGCAAGTTTGGGCCTCCCGGGTTTGGGGGCGCTCCTGACAGCCCCACAGCACCTGCCCATCCTGTGCCGTGGGACGGAGCTGTCTCCCTTTGGGTCGATGTCATCTGGGGCTGAGGTGGGTGGGCTCTCCTCTGTCACGACACCTGCTCTCTGGTAAAGCCTCCTCCCCTTCCCTGAGATTTGTAAGCCCCTCACCCCACCCGCCCTCCTGTGAGCCCCCAAACTCCGTGCCTCGGCAGGGTGTGTGTGTGTGCCCGTGGGCTTTGCAATTGGGGGAGAGGCTTCCTGGGCATCATTGCTCTGCCCGGTGTTAAGGTGGTTTTTTTCTTGTTTTCTCATCTGGCGAAGCTGCCCAGAGCTGGCTTGGATTGGAGCAGCCGAGAAATTTGATCACTGGATAAGGATTAGGAGCACTTCCTTGTTCGGCTTCCAGGTGGCCGGGAAGAACCGCTGACCGTTGGCTGGAGCTGCGGCCTTCAGCTCTTTCCTCCTTCAGCTTCCTCCCTCCAGAAACGGAGCTTGGAGGGGCCCCCCAGATCCCTGTGGCTCCCAGGCCTTGGCTAGGTTGCTCCGCTTCGTCCTCAGGAAAGGTCCCCCCAGGAGAGGAGCCTTGGGCCTTGCCAATCACGCCAGGCCATGGCTGGCACAAACCAGGGTTTGTAAGTCTACGTGGAAAGCGGCCTCTGGCTGCCTGGCTGTAAGGAGCTACATCGTTTCTTCCTGCATCTGGTTTACGTTCAGATGTTACCCTGAGGCGAGTCTGATCCTGAGACAGGCTGCAGCTCCCTCAGGGAAAAAAGCCACGTCCCTCCGGCTCCCCCCTTTATGACCCAATCCTTGGCTTTCCCTGGGAGCTTTCCTTCCGGGGATAAAGTTAAAGGAAGCCGTCAGGAAAGGTCTTGAAGAAGAAAACTGGGATAAGCGGAGAGCATAAATTGTGGTTTGGTGTGATATTTGAATTGGGCATTGTGTGAAACCTGGATTGGCTGAGGTCATCCAACACAAACCCACATTGTGATTTCTCAGTCACATTAGAGGGACTGTTCCATTAATTCGGCTCATTCTGGTTTATTCTACAAGCCATGATTAGAGGCCACGGCATGACATCCTGGCTGCACCCTTGTGTTTTACGGAAGAGGTTAGCGTGTCTCCTTCTCTCTATGGAGACGTTGAGTGGGGTGTTTCCCACCTGGAGGTTGGGCTGGCGGCATCTGATTACAAGGCGCGATGGAGAACCGGGCAGCTCAGCGTAGAGGCAGGGGCCTTGCGCAGGCCAGAGTTTCTCCACCAGGTCACCTTTAAGAGGTGTGGACGTGAGGCTGGCTGAGGAATTCTGGGAGTTGAAGTCCGAGCATCTTAAAAGTTGACAAAGTCAAGACTGGCTGGATGAATGAGTTCCGTCTTGGCGCTTCTTGCACTTGTCACTCAGACTTTTTCTGTGCCACAAGATAGGAATCCGGAGCCCGTAAAGAAGAAGAAGACAGAGATCTTATCCGCCGGGTAGCCAGAAGATCAAGTGGGGCTAAAGCAGGCAGAGCTGCCAGGGGAAGAGGTTCTTCCATTTTAGGTTCTGAGCTGCGTTCCTTTTTCCCAGCCGACCGAGTCCAGCTGGCTCCCACCGACAGATCTTGCTGGAGGGCTGTGGAAAAACTGACGGGTGGTGGTGGGGAGATCTGCAGAGTGAGAGAGGCCAGTCCTCCTTTGGGGCAGCCAGTTCAGCTACAGATTAACTCTGTGGGAGGCATTTCCGCAGCTGAGGCTGATGGGACCTCTTTGGAAAGTAAACCTGTTTTGCGTATCTGAGGAGGGGGATGGCGAGGGGCTCAGGGTGGGCCTTCTTTGCCTGGACCGGAGCAAGCCATGGCTCAGCCACAGCGGGGCAGAAGAGGTTCCACCCATTCTGCAGGCCTCGGCTGCCTCCTCCAGCTGCCCTTGGCTCCTCAGCTGGAAGGACCCAGGGGACGCAGGCTGGGCCAGGCCTCTCATTTTCATTGGGTCTCCTCCTCAGGGAAGCCCACCACCCAGTGAGGGTGAGCAATGGGCTGGTGCGTGTCCAGGAATCCCGCTCTCTGGAGTGACCCTTGGAGTGCCCAGACCTTTGTAGCCTGTTGCTCTTGAGAAAGGAATTGGGGGGGGGAGGGCTGGCCGTGTTCCTCAGGCCAAAGGTCATGGCCGGGGGGGCACTCCTGCTCCCCCTTCTTGTTGTGGGTGAGTCTTTGGAAATTGAGTCAGACGGAGCCAAGCTGGGTGGATCAGGCTTAGAGTAGATGCAAAATAGATCCCCAGGTCCCTAACCCTAACCTGGCAGCCCCCCCCCCCCCGACTTAGGGGCTTCTCTTCTGAGGCAGCTTTCCAAAAAGTAATTAGGAGAATTACTGGCTCTCCCTGCTTCTCCCTTGGTGGAAGAATCCAGGGTGAACCCCTGACCGCCTCCAGCCGAGGGGAGCCCGGCCCCTCCCTCCTCTCCGGCTGCTGGGCCTTTTCCTGAGGCTGCTCAGGGCTGCCTTTCTGGAGCTGGGCAGACTGACCAAGGAGGGAATCCTTCCCTGGCCAGGGCAAACCTTCTCCCCCGAGCCCCCCAAGAAGGGGCTCCTCCCTCGCTCCCCTTTGCCTGGGGGCCTGCCTGTTCCTGGTGGGACCTTTGCTGTCAGAGGGGCCATGGAGCCCTGCAGAGAAGGGGGCTTCCATTCCCTGGAGAGCAGAGAGCACCAGCAGCAGGGAGCCCCTGCCCTATGTCAGCTTTGAACAGCCGTCCTCTTCCTCCTAATAGCTGGGGTGGGATGGGAGCCCCCTCCTCATTATCAGTCAGGAGCCCAACAAGCGGGGTGGCTGCCTAGTTTCCAGTTGAGCAAACCAGTGGGGAGAACAGCTTCGGGTTGGGGAGGGTGATATAACTGTCCCATTTTTTTATGGGTACTTGTCAACCCCCCCAAAAAAGGAGAGGGGCCGGGGGCTACTTTATCAAGAGACTCTGGTTCTGCCCCAGGAGCCCATCCCCCTCTCAGCTGTGGGATGGTCGAGGGCTCCGTGGGCCCCTAACCAGGAGCTGGATGCATGCCAGTCTGGCTGGAAACACCCACGGGTTGCTCTGATGGCTGGGTCCTGTCCAAGGGGCCTCTTGGCCGGGTAGGGGAGACTCACTCAGCTCCCCCCATTCTGCCCCCCCCAACCAGGGCAGGTCTTTTGCACAGAGAAGGACCTGCCTTCCCTTTGAGTCGCTCTGTGGGGTGGAGGCCCCGGCCAGGCAAGGCGGCACCCTTGAGAGAAAAGGAGCTGTGGCTGGGCAGCTGGCGTGAGGGTGAGCCTGGATCCAGAGCGGACAGCCAGTTCTGGCTCTGACCGAATGGAGGGCGTCTTGCTCCATTGAAATCCACCAAGCGAGGCTTCCAATCCGAGCCCCTTTGC